TATCGGACACAATCCGCTGTCCAGCCGCCCCACGATACCGCCGGCTCACCGCGGTCGGGTCTATGAGGTAGGTGGAGGAGATATGTCGCACAAGGAGGGACTACATGTAGCTCAAGAGGGGGGGGGTGCATGTCGCACAAGGAGGAATCCTGTCGCACAGGGGGGGGGGGGGGGGCTCGGCGCTTAGTAACCGACTGGGAACTTCATGCGACAAGCAACTGACCGATAGTGACTAAAATAAAACCGGTGACTGCATCCAAAAACTGCATTCCGAGTCCTGATACCACTGTAAAGGGCTGTGAGTCACAAGTTAAAATGTAGGCATGCCGTACAGTTTTTGATGGTATGCACGATAAAGTGGATCCTGCATTGTTTGGGACAATTTAGAGATTAAAAAATGTTACTTACCACATGTCGTGAATATCAGCACAGTAATGAAGCTGCACGGCAGCACTCTTTATCAAAGCATCATCAAAGCATGATTGTGGACTGGTGGTGCCAATCGGAACTTGGACCTTCGGAATTCCGTTTTTCCAATGTCCACTTCGGAACCTGGTTTGACAAAGGCAGCAGGCCTTGGACAACATTGGACAATCACATGCTACACCTCACATGCTAGTTTTTTATAGGTATATAAAGTAATCGTGTGTAGCATATATTGGCGAAAAGAAAGCCCACCTCAGCGCTCGATATGATAAACATTTTCGGGCTGGTGTTGGTACATTAAAAGCAAATAAAATGACAATGGTTGGTGTTAATTATTGTATAATTTATGGAAAGTCTTGGACAAATGGCTGGCTTGAACAATGAACATTTTTGGACGGAGGGTCGAAAAAATGCCTTAGGACGACCATTGGACATACATTTTCTGCAATAGGCATCATATTGTGGAATTCCTTTCGCGACATAACAATGTTATTTGCGTTGCATTGATCAAATAGGTACTTAGAATTGTACATAACACATCCTGAACAAGACTAAATGACCAAATCTACAATAAGAAGAATGTTTGCAATTTACACGGTATATGCTGCATGTGCAATATGACAGTACGTTATGTCACCAGTCTTTTATGCCAATCGAGGTGAGCGAATCGCTGTTGGCAGTGTCACAAAACTGATCGGCACGGGCCTGTCAATGAAGCAGGAGATAGAGAGGCATTCGTCCGTCTACGAACCAGGGTGGAGGGTAAGCTTGGGGACCTGTAGACGATGCTCGAATGGGAATATGAAAGCCGAGCATTACAAAAGCATAATACATACAACAAAATCCGGTTAATGTGGATAGAGGCATAGAAGTCAGTCGAATGATATGATAATAGTTGTGATGACTTTGTTCAGCCGGTCCGATCCGACATCTACATATATCATATAGCCAATGTCCACCGATAATCAATGTAAGTCGGCCACCCGCCAGCCTACCTCCCCAGCCTCCCGTTTCCGATTTGCGTGTGTCGGCTGTATAACGCAGGCTGCCGTCTGATCGGATAGTTAATCACAGACGCACACAATAGAGGGTCGGTTTGACGGCGCGAGTGGTTCCGGTCCGACGAGTGGACCATTAATCCCGACCCGGCGCCGATCTGTGGCGGGACGCTGAAATCCTCCCCTCCCCCTTTTCTCCTTTCCCTCCCCTCCCCTCGTCCTACCATCCCCTTTTACTTTATTTACTTTATGTGGGAGGGGATTGTATGTGTCTAGGGGGAGGGCAGAGCGGGTTGAATGCCTGAGGGGGTGGGATGGGAAATTTTATTGCGACTGCAGCCTTAATGTGGGCCTCGGCCTGTGGTTGTTATGAAATAAATAAACAAATAAACAAAATCCCCGTCAGCAGTGGCTGTGGAGCAGGAGACCAGGCTTCGAACGCAGAACACACAGAAGAGCTGCTGCTTTGCGAGCACCATGCTGCAATTCAGGTTTCGGTTGTCCATCAGCTCATTGTTTACGAGTACTGCAGCAGTGGCACTAGAATGCAATCATTTGCAGTTATGGGATGATGATTGTCCTCGCTGACAGCGTGCTCAAGGAAAACGCTTGGATGGAATATCTGTTCTTGTGTAACTATTTGATTGTTAATTTGTTGTATGTAACGCTTCCATAGCAACCATGAATCATCTGACTTTGAAAAGTTGTCGTCAATATTGCAGATGTAGCAAGCAACACTGATCCTAACTGAATACCAGGGCATGTTTTCTGCTAGTGTGATAAGAGCAAAAGCTGTCTCAAATGACGATTGACTTTATGTCCTTACACACACAAGAATCTATCAGCACAGCTGCAATAAACGATGTTTTACAGCGTGAGCCAAGGACGACTGAGCTGGTTTTCATCCCCCTCGTTCACTGTGGACGAAGGCCGAGCCTTTTCATCTGCACCTCCTACAACAAGCTGTCTGACAGAGTCGAGGGTAGCTCGGTCCTTCTCTCTGTATGTATGTGTGGGTGTGCTGATGTGAGTGTGAGTGGGTGTAGGTGTGTGTATTTGGGCTAATGCGGGGCTCGCGTGCTGTCCCACTACCACCCACCGTCTCTGACTGCCACCGGCTGAATAAGACGTCTGATAGGAAGGACGGGAGGTAGCAGAACATTTACGGCACCAGGCGGCACGGAACCGAAACAACGAAAGAAGTGCACGGGCTTCAGACAGAAAATAGGAAATCCATTGTTACTCTCGTATAGATAGGATATAGGTAAATGTACCTAGATCGTGTGATATATCGTGATCATATACCTAGGTCGTACTGGTCGTACTCACGTAGCAGCCCATAAGGCCATCTATCGAAAAAAATCATTAGATTTCAAGTGGTCGAAAAACGGTTTCCAAACGTTTGGATATGTGAGACGGGGTCGATACGAGTATGTGCATCGCTGGCTGTCATGAACCCAAATGCACATGAGTTGGGTGGAGGGCCACGTCTGTCACAGCTGGGCTTGGCCTTGTTGTCAACTACTGTCGTTAGCATGTCCTGCTCACAGAATCCGTCACGTCAGCTAATTCCTTGAACGCCGCAGTGTGGCTGGTGAACACGGCTCCGGCGGTGCAGTGCACGTGTTGACGACATGCACATTGTATGCTAATACTGGCGCATTCCAGCCGCTCACGTGTCCATGAAACAATGCCTCTGTGAGACTATCATGACTGGACACGGACAGTGGACACCTCTCCTTCCGACCCTCCCGAGAGCCGCGAAACTAAAACCTTCTAACCAGCAATGTGTCTTAACCAGCAGTTTAGCATAGAACAAGTAAGGTCCACACCCAATTTCGAATGTCAGAATGCAGCGTTAACCAGCACGTCTCATTTCTCAGGGAGGCTGGTTAATGGTTTAACTGATCAATGAATTATTAAGAGCTCTACCGAGGAATGATTTTTTTTTTTTTTAGCTTTATGTTACCTATTTGAGTTTTATTTTTTATTTAACTCCTCAATTTTATTGAGAAGGTTACCGTAGCTTTTGAATAGATTATTTGGTGTTTCCCTTAATCTGAGAGCATAATAATCATTTACGTACACATGGTTCATTTATCCTCCCCAAAGCATAGCGATTCTGGCTGGTTCAATCTGTTCATTTGGCATTTAAAACTGCTATCTTTCTTAGCACCTTCATGGAAGCTCCGAAACAGAGTGAAAATTGCAATCGTGGCCATTGTACGGCATGAGCTGAGTCATCCTTCTGTAATATAAAACTCCTGTGAACATGTAATTGTCTAAAGACTTTTCAGTTAACACACAAACCACCATAGGAATAAAAACTTCAAACTTGGCCGGCGGACACAATACGGCTAACTTTGTAAAAGACGTAGGTATAATTATGTACCTTAGTTGTTGTTGTTGTTTTTAGGTGCCATACTTCACCAAAAACGAAGTAATTCACGATTAAATTAGCTCTGCATTAGCTCATTTACACATCTGGTAAAAAGCGGTGGCGTCAGCATTATCTGCAGGTCACAGCAGTGCTTACCCAGCAGTCTAATTATCCCAACTACCAGCCTCGATCAGGCAGTGCCATTAACGTTAATATTGTAGCGTTGCACAGTCGTCCCGGCACCAAGGTGAGCTATGTCTTCGATTAGACAGCGCGGAGCCGTGCTGAAAACACCATCCATCCTGCCGGTGGTCGCCGCTGTCGGTCTGTCCCGGTCGATGGTGATCACATTCCGTCCCGCGGACGACCTCGTGTCGGCACAATCAACACTCCGGAGTTTTTATACAGGATAGAGGACAACAAGAGTACGAGGAACCAATGTAAAAACTCCGAGTGGTGCGGCTCTTGTCATGCAGGTGTCACTCTAATCTACTCTAATCAGGCTTTGATAGAGAGGGTGAACACAAAAATCACTTCATTACAGCATGAGCCTGCAAAAAGCGCCAAACCCCCATTCTATTGCAGTATGCTCCTGCGGTGTAACATAATGCCTAAGAACTGATGTTTGAACTGATGGAGCATGTTTGATGCTCCATCGATCCAAGCTGGAGCATCAAACATAGCGACGAACCCAATGAGACGTGGAAGCCGAGTTTTTTGGGTCCATACAAACCGCGCAGTATGTGGGACTGCATCCCGCTGCGCCCCTGAATGAAACCGATGCCGCGGACGAAAGGAACTCGTTGACGCGACAGAATCCTGCATTGACAGCAGCGGCGGACTCAGCACTCTCGAAATGGAAGGCTGCCGACGGTTCTTTATCGGCCTATATCCGATAGCGGCACGAATGATCCCACGTCAGTAGCTATAAGGGAAAGAGACGAATGTAGCGTGTCTGAGATATGACTATGGAGGTACTTCAAGTACAAAGGTCTGTCGACGGCTAGCATAAGTGTGATCTTAGGTGACCAACAGAGGGTTCTATGCAATTTTCACTTTCCCTTATCATCCTATATTTACAAGAATTACGGGGTTTGTCGGTGGCAATGACACCCAAAGACCGTGCTTCAATGGCTCCAGCATATGTGTCGCACTGCTCTATCCCCAACTGACGCTGTCCCATCTGTGTTTCCCAGGCGCGCTGCGGGGCGGTGTGATGCCTGCTCCCGTCTGGGTCGGACTGCTGCCGTTGGCGGCGCTGCTGTCCCTCTCCGCCGGGCTCTGTCCGCCGCGCTGCGTCTGTGACGACACCGCCCTGCAGGCCGACTGCTCCGGCGCCCAGCTGGACAGCTTCCCCATCTCTCTGAACCCGCGCCTGCGGACACTGCTGCTGGCCAAGAACGGCATCCTCAGACTGGATCGCAGCATGATGGTCTCCTCCTATAAGGAACTCGAGCACCTGGACCTGAGCGATAACCGGCTAGAGAGCGTGGAACCGGGCAGTTTCGCGCAGCAGGGCCGACTGCACGAGCTGCGACTGGGTAACAACCGGCTGGCGCAGCTGGAGGGCAGCGAGCTGCAGGGGCTGCTCCAGCTGCGCGTGCTGGATCTCAGCGGTAATCAGCTGCAGGAGCTGCCGGCCGGCCTGCTGGAGCCGGTGTCGCTGCTGGAGGAGCTCAATCTGGCCGAGAACCAGTTGCAGTGGCTGCCGGCGGCGAGTGTGGCCGGCGCCGTCAGTCTGCGCCGACTGAGACTGGCCGATAATCAGCTGCAGCAGCTGCCGGCCGCGGCGCTGGCGCAGCTGCCGCAGCTGCTCTCGCTGGACCTCTCGTTTAACCAGCTGCGGCGGCTGCGCGCAGGGGAGCTGGCTCAGACCCGGGCCGGTCTGGTACAGCTGAATCTGGAGGGGAACCGGCTGGAACAGCTGGAGGAGGGCGCGTTCGACGGTCTGGGCCAGCTGCGGCGGCTGGTTCTCTCTCAGACCGGGCTGCGCCAGCTGGAAGGCGTGCTGTCGGCCTCACTGACCAGTCTGGAGGAGCTGTATCTGAACCGCAACCCGCTGAGCTCGCTGGGCGCTGCGCCGCTGCGTCTGGTGCCCGGCCTGCGCCTGCTCTCCGTCAGCTCGTGCCATCTGCTGGGCTCCGTGGACGCTGACGCGTTCAGCGGGTCCTCCAGCCTGGAGGAGCTGCTGCTGGAGGACAACCAGCAGCTGTCGCAGCTCCCCTCGGGGGTGTTCTTGCCGCCGCCGCGTCTGCGCCGCCTCAGCCTGCGCGGCTGCGCGCTCACCTCCCTCCCTGCCGACGTCTACCCCTGGCGAACGGTGCGCGCCGACCTCTCCGAGAACCCGTGGCGGTGCGACTGCGAGCTGCGCTGGCTGGCGGAGCTGCCGGCCAACGTCAGCACGGAGGGTGCTGTGTGCTCCGCGCCCGCGCCCCTCCGTGGGCACCCCGTGCGCGAACTGACGGTCGGCCAGCTGGGCTGTGAGAGCCGCAGTGACGCCGCGGAGATGGCGCTTACGATCGCCCTACCGTGTGTTCTGGCCTCGCTGACGCTGGCGCTGACGGCAGTGCTCGTCTGGAGGAGCCGACGCCGGCTCGGGAAGCGGCTGGACGTGTTTGGCTGGCGGACACGGCTGTCTCTGAGGCCGAGCAAGCCGCCGCCGCCGCCCGTCGGGGCCACCTCGACGTACTACTACAGGGAAAGGTTCAGCTCGGGTGGCGACGGCAGTGGCAGACTGGTGCCCGTCACAGAACTGTGAGAGAACACCGCGCTCAGAGGGACTGGAACAGTGATCAGCGATCTGGGTCGGAACTCAGGCAGTGGATCTGTGTATCAAAAGGTCGCTTGATTGGGTGAAATTTGTCATTTTTATTGACAATGTATCGGAGCAAGTGACCTAATCATCCTTAGAGGGCGACCCTTTGATCTTTTATACATGCTAGCGACTTACGAGTAGTCGGCGCCTGGCTCACTGCCCAGTGGATGTTTGGACTGACTTTGTGGTGATCTTTTAGTGATGTGCTGGTGACCTGGTGGTGATGTGTCTTGTGCTGTCCCGTCAGCAGCCACAAGTGAGAGGACCGACCTTTGGTAGACCAACGTAATGAGCTAGAGTGTGATGCTGGTGAATTTCGTTTATAGTTGACTCGCGCTATCGAATTATTAAGAATGAAGGCTCAGCTCATAATTCTAGCTTCAATAATGTGAGCAATCTTTCACTGGCGGTCGCAGCCGCTAGTAAAAGGGGGGGCCAAAGTCACACTCGCGGGACATAACATTTATCCGTCACCGGGAGGGTGATCGGCTATTTTTTTACGTTCACGAGGTGCCGCGCAGTTGGCATTACTTATGCTTCATCCATCTGATTCTTGCGTGAAATTTAAGGCAATTTATTACAATTTAATTTAATTGTAAATTTAATTAAATTTACAATTTAAGGCAAAATCACCAGTTCCATTTCCCGTCCCACGGTGCTTCCACCGGTCGGCCCACTGCACCATGACGACGGATCGGTGTAGCATAGGTATACTGGAAGGTCAGGCACGCGGATTCATGACCTTACCACTATAAAACAATTCGGAAAAGTACAGATACCTCTTGCTTTGAACAAGCATGTGAAACCCAGAGAGCATTTTCAGACTATGACATTTACCCATATAGGTAACATACCTAGTTGTGTGGCGGCGGGAGAGAGTAGGTACACCGACCTCTGGAGACCCCCCACAGGTTCCGAGCTTTCAAAATTGGCATCTGAGGGCCGCGCGCGACTCCTGCGGGGCTTCGAAACGGCTCTATTGGGGCTCACTGAACTTGCCTAGTCTTACTGCTAAAAAGACTGGCCCTGAGCCCTAAGGACTTCATCAGTCTCTGCCAGCCCCAGGACCCACACCGGCTCATGGGGTCCCGACGTCGAAATATGAGGGAATCTGCCAGGCACGTACCCAGGATTTCGCCCAGGAGGGGGCCACCTGCTTTCGAAGGGGCCCCCCACAGTGTATAGGGCCCCCCAGGTTCCCCGGGGGCCCCCGGGAGTCATGAAGAACCTTTCGATGGTGGGGGGGGGGGGGCATAGTGGGTCCGGTCTCTCCTGCAGACGTAGGTGAGAAAACGCCACGTGTGTGGGAAAACGCAATTCAGTTCTTTACAACCTAATGTAGCATTTGGTGTGATTTCTCGCGTTCAACTTCATCAACGTCAATTAAAACGGTCTCTGTAACGGTCTAAGCCTTGAGAAAATGTGGAAATTTGGAAAGTAAAAATATTTTTGCTTGAGGAGTGTGCATGAAACGCACGGCATTTTATGAGCGAGCGCCTCAATTACTGAACATCCTCCAATCCGGATATGTAGGTATATAATATAATAGTGGGGAATAAATGTCTCGTTATCGGAATTCCACTATCTGGCAACAAGCCCTATGTAAACGCGGCTATTATATGTTTCACTAGGAATCGAGCGCAATTGTACTTTTAGCCAGAAAATAAATGTTTGGGTAATTCTGGGACACTGTATTAATTGGAGGAATAGGACTTAGGAGGAAATGCGATTGCAAATCGACCCACATCCCTGTGTTAGCCAATGACGCCTTTGGGGCAAAGGTTGGGGGGTAGCCTTTTTGTTTTTCTGTGATATCTCCGGCACCGTGAAAGATATTGGCTCCTTCAGATGAGTGCCTACTCCAGTCACTACTTATATCCAGCAGCCAGTAGCCACTCAGATGATTTGGGATCAATCAGGTGATAAGCGTACTTTCAGACGACCAGGGGCCCCCAGTCGACCAAGGGTTCCCAGGCGACCAGGTCCTCCAGATGACTAGGGGCCCCACTGCCCCAGGCGACCAGGGCCCTCGAGGCGACCAAGGGCCAATGCGATCAGGTCCCCAAAGCGATCAGGGGCCCCCAGGCGACCAGGGGGCCCCCAGGCGACCAGGGGGTCCCATGCGACCAGGCCCCCGGCTACCAGGGGCCCCCAGGCGACCAGGGGCCCTCTAGTTGACCAGCGGCCCTCAGGCGATCAGGGGCCCCCAGGCGACCAGGGGATCCCAGGCTACCAGGGGCCCAAGGCGACTAGGGGCGACCGGGGGCCCCAGGCAACCAGGGGCCCCCATGCGACCAGGCCCCCCGGCTACCAGGGGCCCCCTGGGCGACTAGGTACCCCCAGGCGATCAGGGTCCTCAATATCATGCAACCAGAGGCCCCCATGCGACTAGGGCCCCCTAGGCGACTAGGGGCCACAGACTATCAGGGGCCCATACGACCAGGCCCCGGGCTATCAGGGCCCCTAGGCAACTAGGGGCCCCCAGTCGATCAGGGGCCTCATGCGACCAGAGGCCCCCTATGCGACCAGGGCCCCCTAGGCGACTAGGGGCCACAGGCTATCAGGGGCCCCATGAGACCAGGCCCCCGGCTACCAGAGGCCCCCTAGGCGACCAGGGGCCCAGGAAACTGGGGGCCCTTGGATGACTGCAGGGGCCCCTCGGGTACCCAGGGCACATAAATGAAACTTAAATATCAATTTTTCTTCTGAGTAAAAGACGTTTTATCCAGTGTTTAAAAAAAAATATCCTGGGGCCTGAGGGGCCCCCTGAGCGCCTTCGGCGCTCAGGGGGGGGGGGGGGGCTTTGGCCCCCGTGGCCCCCCCCTTGGGTACGTCACTGGAATCTGCGCGGGACCATCAGGACGTAAAGTAATCTCGATCAGGACCAACGTAAGGCTGTGCCGGAGACTGCGTGAGCCCTCTGATCTTCAGAAACCCACCCATGTATGTTTTCACGTAGAGGCCAGTTTAGGGCCCTCAGAGACCAGTACAGGGCCTGCAAACTACAAAGGCCAGTAGTTTGAGACAATCAGTGACCGAGTTGGGCTCTCAGAGGCTAATGTGGGTCATTACAGGCCAACATGGGCCCTCAGAGGTCAGCGTGGGGCCCTAAAAGACCGGCATGAGCCGTCGTTGGACCCCAGAGGCCAGCAGAGGGCCCTCAAAGGCCAAGATGGGCCCTCCTCACAGGCCAATGCAGGCCCTTAGAGGCCGGCATCGGGTCTTCAGCAGCCAGTGCGGGGCCCTCATTGGCACCTAAAGGTTCGTCTTGGGACACCACAGACAGAAATAAAGCCACCAGAGACCGGTGTGAGACCCTCAGACGCCGGTTGGGACTCCTGAGGCCGGTTAGGGGCCCTCATAGGCCAGATGTGGGGCCTCAGAGGTTGATGTAGGCTCTTAGCGGTCAACGTGGGCGCTTGACCGCCACTGAAGTTCCCTCAGAGGTCAGTGTAGGACGCTCAAAGACCGGTGTGGGAGCTATATTAATAGCTGGGCGTGGGTTTTTGAGCCTCGTGACGATCGAATAATTGCCAGGGCCCCATACACCTATATGGGGGCCCTTTGGTTGTTTGAGGGGGGGGGGGCAAATGATATGATGGCCCCCTTTATGGACCTTTGGGGGCATGGCCCTGATGCCCCCCCCCCCGCGACCGCCACTGTGTTCACATTACACACATGCCTCTGAGATTACATACTAGCTCATGCAAACTCTATGCAGGCCCTGGAGTTCCCAAGCTAATCCTTAAGAAACTAAGCCGGCATACGGCGTCACCACCGGGCTTCTGAGGTGCACAGCAGGCCACTCAATATACCCTGCACAGCACCAACCCATGAGGTCTTACTTTAGTGTCTTAGAGCCGATCTCCTTTAGCAGGGCCCACCCACCACTGCCGAAGAGGATCTCATGCCAGCCATTGCTGGGCCTACGAGAGCCTCAAGTAAACCCACGCTGATATTCCATATAAGATCCGGCCATACTCGTGAACCGGTGCCAGCGACGCTGACCGCCAAATTGACAGAATGCGAAACTGAGCCCACTCATGAGTGAAATTTACGTCCTTTGATGGCGCAAGAAAGAAAATGAAACATACGAAAAGCTTTTCTAGTACTTTTGTTCGATCTGAAAGGTGGGGCCAAAAGATAGTATGGCCCCACCTTTCAGCACCAAAGGGGGGGCCATGGCCCCCGTGGCCCCCCCCCTGGGACCGCCAGTGAATCTTTTATGATGCAATTTATAATAGCCAGCTGAAAGTCGGGCCAGAAAGGAAACCATTAAAAGCCATTATAACTATCGAAAAGTGATGATGGATGAGATCTGAGCTAGAGCTTCAAACAACAAATGAAATAGAAGTCGTCTAACACTGCAGGCGCGTTCTGAGTCATCAAATGTACCCGGCAGCTGAGGCAAGTAGCGATATCGCGTCCCCATGGTATCAGTGAAGGACGTGGGGACGATCTCCAACTTGGTGATCTGTATGATATTGATACGGACAAGTGGCCAGTGAGTGTTGTGATACGATCTCTGAATCAGTTCCGTGAACTTGTATCGATAAGCATCTGATGAGTGGTGTGGGCGCAGTACGCTAGGTTAGCTTGTGCGTGATTTAAGCCAACGTGTTTTTATGTCCGTGGGCGCCGTTTTATTTTACAAAGATGTCGCAACGTCCCCGGAAGTGTTTTGAAATCTGTCGTAAATAAGTAACATCCATCCCTCAAAGTGTCTCTATTCTGATCTGGAAAATTTGGTCCATTAATTCAGCGGTTACTTATTGGCGTGATACATGTGTCCATGAGAGTCCAATGCGGATGTCTCAGCGAGTCTAAGAATGCATCGCAGTCAGTCTGAGTTGGACAAATGCCAGCCTGGCTCTAATTACTCTGGTGCTCGAGCACATAGGCATGACATGCATGCAGCCAGGCACTATGAAGGTTAGAAAATGGATGAACAAACGAACTCTAAGTCGTATGACTCCAAGGGCGTGATAGAAGTTCGTAAAATCGGAGACATTTGCTAGCAATACCTATGTTATGAAAAGTGCATGGCATGCAACGCTCCTTGCATGGTAAAGTGAGGACGATTGGTGAGCAGCTCATGCTACCCATCCCTCGTCATTAGCCGCGTTTACATAGGGCTAGTTGCCAGATAGTGGAATTCCACTAACGAGACATTTTTTCCACTAACGAGACATTTCAGGCACCTTCAGATAATTCTGACGACCTATCCGGCCAGAAGGACCAAACCGATTGACAAAAATAAATACATCGTGGCGGATGAACACTAAAGAGGTACTTCAGGCCTAGACATAGTATAGATGTCGCAACTCGCGGCCTTCCCGGCAGTAAGGGCGAGGTATAGATGACGCTTCTGCAGCAAGTCACTGGAACGTGCGAGTCGTGGAATGGAACGGAAGATACGGAACGGGGGCTTCTTAACGGAAGCTTATTCGTTTTATTTTCATTTAAGAATTGATTTCGTGCGCTAGGGAAAGAACATTGTCTTCTTTTTTCTTACGTCTGCACCCCCCCCCCGTCCCTTCCATCCTTTGAATCAGCCAGTGTGCAGCAAGAGGGTTCATCGGAGAAAAACAACAAAGAGCAATCCTCCCTGAGCCTGTCAGGTCAGAAATAACCTGAGCATAGGCGGCGGAATGGGAAGGGCACCGGGGCACCGTGCCCCCCTTTGATTTTGGCATTTTAACATTAGCCCTATGGGCGCTGCATGGAAAGAATGGGACCAAAAGTCGGCGGTGCCCCCCCCCCCTTAATTGAAGGTGCTCCGCGGCTACTGAACCTGATGACCGTTCGTTATGCCCTACTGCCCACGCTTCTTAAAATTTCAGTAGTAGTCAGTTATCTGGCCAATGTTTCCGTATAGGGGTTGGCAAACACAACTGAGCCTCGTGAGTGGGATGAGTACTGGACACAGAAGTGGACAATCTGTTGGCAAGGAGCCCGCAAGGATAATATCTCGAAACTCAGGACTACGTATACAAACACTTTAAAAGCATCTAAATCTATACTATAATCGAAAGCCGCATTGTTGTGAACTACCGGCACGTGCGTCCAATCACCATCAAGAACGGAAGTCCGACCTACAGCAAGCACGACAGTCCGATCATAGATGTATTGAAAAATAACTAGCAACTTTAAACATCGCCTTCCTCAGCCACGCTCTACACCGCATCACATAAGAAAACCGCCAATATCGATTACAAAACACACATAAAGGAATTTCGTAGGTAGAGATCAGAGGAATACTTCACCTCCTTTATCTGGCGCGTCAATAGGTATAAAGTAATCTTTGGCGTCTACGCACTAGCAACATCTATAATGCAAACAGCAGTTCAGAAACCATCCACTAAAATTGCAACAAGGCAAGGGTTGGTCAAAATAAATTATAGTCACCGTGATAAATAGCAAACGAAATACAGAACAAGCAAGCACAACAAAGCATTCCACACTCGTTTAGACTGTACCTACAATATGCCTACATAAGACATTGCAGCAGTGTACAAGGGAAACATTCTTTAACCCTATTCCTGGCGGGGGGCCTCAGGAGCCCCCCCCCCCCTGAGGTTTTTTGGTTATATCTCCCAAACGCGTTGAGCTAGGAAGCTCAAATTTTCTGACTTTTCCTAAAAGGCTTCTACGCAACATGTCTGAAAATTTTGAGTTGATCTGACCTCAGGTCAGGTCACCAGAGGCGGTTTGGTGACGCTACCTCAGAAAAGTTTGCAATCACGCCAGAGCTAGAGTTTTTGACCGATCAATTTCTTCTCTTCAGGGTTTAGTTAGGGTACCAGTATGTGCAATTTGTATATCTCGGAATTTTGATATCGTTGACCTAAGGTCAGGTCAATTTCGCGACCTCCCCATTATAAGTCAATGGGGGAAAAATCAACTCCCTGTTTTTACCACTAAAACGGGTCGGAATGGCCCCATATACCATACATGACTTCATATACGATCAACCTTCACTACCTTCAGGTCTGTTTTGCTGTTGGGCAGCTGTGAGGTCATGTGACGTCATCAAAGGTCACCAAAGGTTTTTGGCCAATAACTCCGTACAGGAACAAGATACAGACGCGTGGATGGTCTCATTGTGTTCAGCTCGTCAAGACGCATCGAATGATATACATGATGACCTCGAGGTCACGTGACCTGAGGTCAACCTTTGACCTTGACCTTTCGAGGTCAACATATATATATCATTCGATGCGGATTGACGAGAGGATCACGATTATGCCCTTAGTTTTTTCCTATCTTGACTAATTCGAAAGTTATTCGAGAAAAACTCTCTCCATATCTAGTGCCGCCATTTTGACTTTTTCGACCCCTGTGACGTCATCTTTGACCTGACCTGAAAATGACCTTAGTAAAAATTGTAGATCTTGGCCGTGCGTATCCGATGCCGTTTACCGCTTGTCGCTATCTTGCTTCGTTCTCGAGATCTCAGGGGGGGGCCGAATCGGCCCCCCCCCGCCAGTTTCTTGTCCCGGCGGAGCCCGCCAGGAATAGGGTTAAAGATGCTAACGTGAGGAGTTTTAAAAGTTTGGTGAACATAGTTACGAGTCACTGCACAAGAAATGTCGCGGTCGCCAGCCGGCCCAGGCGAAAGAGTCGACGGAGACGGCGTCAAACAAACCCGAGAGGGGGTAGTTTCATCCGCATCAGCGGAGGCGCTCTCTCTGTTAAGGTCGTCAGTTACCAGCCGCAGCACCCTGCTGGCGATTTGATAGCTGCTCTCATTCTCAGCTGGCTGAGCGCCATGTGCCGGGTCATCCGGCTCCATGATTTCCCCTTTCATTAGCAGCTGCTGTTGTAGTTATTGTTGTTGCGTTCCTTTCAGCTGCTGCCGCAGCATAGCCGTATGGTTCTGGATGGTTCTCACGGCGGCAGCCAGGGTCACCAAATCCGTCTCCCCGTAGCCACACCAGACTCGGGAAAATGTACCGAGATGTACCGAGCCAATGTTGCAGCACTCGCGGCATTCATCGGTAGGACTCCGCCCAACCCAATGTCGGCACTGGCAGGAGCCCGACCAGTGGTCCAAGCGAAACTGATGAAAATCGACAGCTGATGAGCGGTCCTCCACTGACGCCGGACGGGTGGCGACGGCGCGGCCGGTCCTGGAGCTGGAACAGCAGAATGGACCGGATAGACGGCGGTCGACCCATATCGACCGGTACCATCCGTCCGGCCAGCTCCTCCAACACCGCTCTTAGGGCGAATAGCTGTTGTTGTTGTTGTGCTGTCCCTCCAGGCTCTGGTGAGCTGTAGCCTTAACGGCTCTGGAGGTACCTGGCGACCCTCGCCAGGGCCGCCACCGCGTCGTCTCGTCGCACGTCGCTCAGGCTCGGGAAGATGGTGCCGAAGATGCGGAGCCGGGCGTTCATCAGCGCCGGGCACCGCAGAAGGACATGGTCCGGGGTGTCGGCCTCTTCGCCGCAGGCGCGGCACCATCCTGCCCGGCATCCCCGATCACTGCACTGGGCGCACTCCGGCGATGGGTGCCGCCCGATTCTGTGCAGGTACTGGGCTGACCCGGACCAGTGTCCTGCTCGTAGTTGGTGGGTCTCCACTGCGTCCAGCCTGTTGGGTCCACGAACCGGCGGCGGGGGACGCCCCTCCATCAGCGGGGCGAATAGCTCGCCGCGCGTGCTAGAGCAGAGGGCGCCTGCCGCGACACGCACCTCTCGGATGTCGCGGTTCGGGGGGGGGGGGTGGCCCCTCCTCCTCCATCTAGCACACCATCGGTGGCGGAGCTGTCTGACCAGATCAAGCTCGCCTCAGACGGGAGCTCCGCCAGACGACTTTCCGCCGCCTTGGCTCGCCAGCCGTCGCGCCCAAACTCGCTTCAGGCCGTGAGTCTATAGCCGGCGCGGTGGCGTGGCTTCGCCATGGTAGCCTTGGGCGGGTTGTCCTCAGAGAACGCATTCGCATTGGCGAGGAGGCGAGCAGCGCCACGAGTCCTGAAAAGACCAAACAATATCAATAGACAATCAAAACTGTAAAAAATTGGCATTAACTGCGCAACTGATGTTTGCTTGTTTGTTTGTTTATTAGGGTTTACGGGCGCTGCGGTGGTCATTTTGCACCCATGAAGCTGTTCTGGTGAACCTGCGCAACTGAGCAGTGATCATGCTATAACTTATGTTTGGCGTAGTACCAGGGTTCCACCTAAAATTTCGGCGCACGTCAGGTGTAACGTCACATGCGACAAATTCAGCGCATGTCAGTTGGGCAAACTAAGGCTGATGGAATAATATAAAACGAGGGCACCAAAAATTGATCCTAAATGACCATACTTGGACATTATTGCAGACCCTCTCTGTATCACCAATTGTCAGAAAACAAGCGGTTTCAAGGAGCGTTAGAGAGTCATGAAGCCAGGATAAAACACAGTGCTATTTTCTAAAAACAGTTTTTACATGATAGAGTTAGGCAACTCTCTCCCTCTCTCTCCGTTTACCATTCGCAAGGCCAAAAAGGCCAATTGGTTTTGAAAGACATTGGATTACAAGCTGAGAATTTTTTACTTTATCATAAAATCTTAAACCTGCGTGTAGATAAAGTCTGAACGGTGGTTTGTAGGCTGATAGGTTGGAGGTTGAAGGTTAGTAGGGAAGGTAAGGTCAGGATGATTTCTGCTTTTTATTTTCATTGGACTTCAGTCTTCATCAACACACGCATCAAAAATATCATCTATTTGAGCATCTTCAAGCCTCAATATACAAGTTGTACCACAAAAAATTAAAAATTGATGTCATGCCAACATATGGTCATGATTTTTACCACCAGAATTGAATTAAATGCCTATTGATGCTTTACCTAATATTTTGAAGCCTGAAATCTGATTAACCAAACATTTTTTTCTTGTGTTGGCAGTCTAAAATTTGGCTGGCTTGAGCGCGATGCTATTGCTCTAGCAGAATCTCAAACGGATGTCTACCAAGTGCCACTCCCAAGAAAGTTTTTCAAGATTCTAAAACCACAAACTTTGTTGCTGCCTGATCGTGTGATGGTAAATCAAATGATAGCACTCCGTCTGAGGCCAGTTTTACAAACAGAAAATAGCCACCTGCCGGATTATTTTGCCTAAAGGCTAATTCACATATGGAGTGTAGGTAAATGGTGAAGCCCTCACTGCTTACATGCCTATCGCGTTTACCCTCTGTATGTTGTACCTACGTGGAATGGATATATGAGGAGAAAAATTCCAGGCAGCTATTTTTGTTGGTAAATCGGGTAAAGTAAAACTGGCCTCTGAACGAAAATTTGGACTGAGTGAGATGTCGGCTCTTTGGTGGTTTGGATAGGAGTTGATGATTTTAATTGAAAGGTTAAAAGGAAAGGGCAGGGGCGCGGGAACTACTTTCCGACTGGGGGGCACACCATAATAGAGATCAACCTAGGGTATCCCCAAATCTAGTTTTCTCACCGGTTTTAGGCCACTTATTTTTCACCCCTCGGCTTTTTCAACAAAAAAAGAAAACATTTGCAAAAAAAGTGTGGTATTCCGTCTCAAAGATGTGGGGGCACCGCCCCCACGGCCCCAGAGTTGGGGGGGCAAGCTGCCCCCACTGCCCCCCCGGCTCTCGCGCCTATGGGAAAGGGTTTCAAGACAATCGGCATGACAAACCAACACCTTACCTGCAGTTCAAGTTTGTCGATTTCTTCATCAAAATCTAGTCTTCGTCTAGTCCACAAATTAAGATAAAATTACTGGATAGGTACAACTTCTTCTTCTTCTTCTTCTTCTGCACCTCACCTGCCACCCCCTACACTTCTACCTTATTCTGATAAATATCTTTACATAATTTTCACAAGAATGCCACTCAACGGGGTAGATCTAAAAGAGTGCAGGGCTTAAGTTTTGAGCTACAGAGTTCTCAGTGATTTTGAGACACCCAATATGTCTTTGGCACGCCGTATTTGTCTCTCACCGCTTGCGAATTCGGCGATATGATTGGTCGAAGGCCGAGGCTATGGGTCCAAGAAAAGGCCAAGATTCCTGCCAAGATCCTTACAGATAGCCAAGACCGATGACTGACGTGACTGACGGCATGTTACTGCCCTTGGCATATTGCCAATGCACTGCTCCGTCATATCGGCAGTGATGTCAACAGTCATATCGGAAGTAATATGGTAGCTAAACGCAAAAACCATTTGGTGTATGGCTACCATACTTTTCCGATAACGAGACATTCTAGATCAATCTCTCTACTGTTGGCGACATCTGCTGAGAAATCCCAAGACCGAACGCAAGCACATAAAAGTAATGCACTCTAAGGATGCGTTCGAAATCTGGGAAGTGACGGATTTCATTCCTCAATGCCTGTCCCAGCCCAGGGGCGTAGGCAGGGGGGGGGCCACTGGGCCATGGCCCCCCCCCTTGGGCGCCGAAGGCGCCCTTTGCGATTGGAGGGCGCCGAAGGCGCCCTCCAATCGCAAATGCAATTGTGATATAATCGAATCGAAAAACAATCGCGACTGGAGGGCGCCCTCCAATCGCGAATGTGTTTACAGGGAAAATACGGATGGAGGGCGCCCTCGGAGGACGCCCATTCCAAATACGCCCTCCAAATACGGTTGGAGGGCTCCCTCGGGCGCCCTCCAACCACATTTGTAGGCTGTAGCTCTCTAAGCGTAACGGTGGTCGCCTATGTAAGCCGCTGTCCCGTAAATAAGCGCCCTCTCACCCGAAGGCGCCCTCCTGTAGGTTGTTGTTGTTGTTGTTGACTCCCCACGTAGCGGTCGCTACGTAGCCTCCCGGCTCTGGAGGTACCTGGCGGCGGCCCCCAGGGCCGCCACCACGCCGCTGCTCCGGACCTCCTCCTCCCTCGGGTATATGTTGCCTAGGTGTCGTAGGCGTAGTCGCATCAGTGCTGGGCAGCGTAGCAGGATGTGTTCTGGCGTGTCCGCCTCCCCCTCGCCACAGCAGCGGCAGCCGGCCGCCCGGCACGCCAGCGAGTTACACTGTGCGCAGTCCCGGCCGGGGTTCCTGCCGATCCGATGCAGGTACTGCGCAGATCCCGACCAGTGACCAGCGCGCAGTTGGTGCACATCAACCGCCACCTCGCGTGGTGTAGTGCTGGGTAGCGGTGCGGGTAGGTGGCCGTCCATCAGCCGCCTGTACCAGCCGTCCGGCCAGTTGTTGGTCGCCTCCTTTCTGGCGATCCGGGACGCCGCACGGTACACTGTGCGGACGTCGACCGGGACTCCCTGCTGTGGGAGGGCGGCGGCTTCCTTGGCGATGGCGTCCACCCGCTCATTTCCTTCCAGCTCGCAGTGGGACGGCACCCATTGGAGGTGGACTCTTCGGTCCCCATCAGCCACCAGTGCCGCCATGTGCTCCCAGATGGCGGCACCTAGAGGGGACGTCTGGGCCGCTGGTCCTCCCCTCAGCGTCGCAAGTGACGCCTGTGAGTCGGAGCATATGATTATATCCTGCTCGAGGGGTGGGTGCTCCAGGAGATGTTGTACTGCCGTCTTCAGCGCCACCATCTCAGCCCGGTAGCTAGAGCATATTTTCCCCGCCGCCTCTCGCAGAACTTCAGTTGTTCCGTCTGGGTGCTCGATGAGGACCCCGGCGCCGCCATCCGTCACTCCGCCGGTCGCCGACCCGTCGGTCCAAGCCCACGTCGCACACTGGGGGAGCGCTCCCAAGCACGCCTCCGCAGCGCTTCTCCTCATCGACGCGGTCGCTCCGACCGGGAGCGGGCCGACGTCCAGGCGGATCGACACGTTTTCCGTCGCTGTCCACGGGGGCGGTCTCGTGGCTAGGCGAGCTTCGACGGGCAACTCCACGCCCGCGCGGTCCCACACCGCTCTCCCGCGGTCTCTCCATCCGGTCACGGACTTGAGACGCGGCACGGGGGCCGCTACTGCTACGGCGTGCAGCGGATCCTCCGGCGGTAGAGAGTGCGCTTTCGCCAGCAGGCGTGCTGCCAGCGCATCCCTCCTCGCCGCCATCGGCACGACGCCCGCCTCTGCTCTCACAGCGTGTCTCGGGGTGGAGATCGGACAGCCGGTGATGGTGCGTGCCGCCGCCAACATCTCCACTTCCAAGACGCCGAGATGCGTTGTCGCAGCCGCAGGCAGCCACGCCGCCGCCGCGTGTTCTATGGCGCCGCGGACGTATCCGTTAGCTACCGTCCGGAGGAGCCTCTCGCCGAGCCCCCACGACCTTCCGGTGAGCTGTCTGAGTTGGTTGATTCTTGGTCTTGTCTTTCTTCGTAGACGACGGCAGTGCGGCCCGAAGTGCAGGAGTCTGTCCAATGTGACGCCCAGAAGGTGGAGAGTCTCCCGCGCCTCGACCGTGCTACCGGCTACCTTGATGCGGCAGTCCTTGGCGTCCTTGGCTTGCTGCGAGAGAACCAGAAGTTGGGTCTTCTCGCCGGAGACTCTCATCTTGGATTCGCGCGCCCACCTTGTTAGCGCGTCGGCTGCCCTCTGGGCCCTCTCCCTCGCCACTTCAATGGTGTTGCCCGCGCAGAGCACCGCCGTGTCATCCGCATACATGTAGGGTGTGCATCCGGGGATCTTCTTGATGACCTCCACCAGCGGCGCCGCCCATAACACAAACAAGCTGGGCGACAGCACGCTGCCCTGGGGTAGTCCGGCGCGGAAGACCCGCTCACCGGAGAGATCCCCGCGAACCTCCACTCTCGTCCTTCGGTCTCTCAGCCACTGCCACACCCAGCGGACAAGACACAGCGGCAGTCCCTGTTCGGTCAGGCTGAGCCGGAGGAGGCGATGGTCCACTACATCATACGCTCGGGCAAAGTCAAAGGCCACGAGGACGTATTTCTGTGCCACGCTTCCATCAGGCCTCCTCGCCGCCGTTCTTCGATCGACCGCCGGTCGCTGCCATCCGTCCTGCACCTCTTGGACGAGGCGGCCGATGTTGTCCTCCACCGACCGCCCCGCTCGGAAACCCGTCTGTTCTGGAGGGAGCAACCCTCGGCTTTCCGCGAAGTAGGTAAGTCGGGCCAAGATCATGCGCTCCAACAGCTTGCTCAGGTTGCTGGTGAGTGCTATCGGCCTGTAGCTGCCCAAGAGCCTCTTGTCCTTGCCGGCTTTCGGAATCGGTATCACCGTCGCGACGCGCCACTCTTTCGGGACCTCTCCGGAGCTCCACGAACTGTTAAAGGTTCTGAGGAGTTCTTTCTTGGCGATCGGGCCGAGGTGGCGGAGCATCTCGTTGGAGATACCGTCAGGGCCCGGTGTTTTCTTCAGCTTGGTTTCCACGATCTGGGCGTTGAGCTCAGCCAGGGAGAAGGGCGCGCACATCTCTGTTCGCCGGTCTCGGCACTCACATAACCGTGCCGCCGGTTGAGACAACTTGCGCTTTGCGGTGAGGTCGACCTTCTTGTTTCTGACATGACGCGAGACTTGTGCGTATGTCTTAACGAAGGCGTTAGCTTTCTGCTTGTCCGTAACCAGAAGCTTTTTGTCGTCGTCCATCATCGCCTGGCCGTCTCGGTGCTCATCGTCGGTCGCTCCTTCCCACTTTTTCAGAATCTTGGAAACCCTTCCGAGGCTTGCTGGGCGATTCAGTGTCGTTCCCACAAACTCGTGGAACTGCTCTCTGGAGACCCGTCCCTCAACCTCGGCGGCGCGCTGCTTTGCTGCGATCCAGCGCGTCCGACTGTCCGGATCGTCGGGTCGGATCTCACGTCTGGCAGCTTGACGGTCACGGATGGCTTCTTGCAGGTCAGGATGGAGGGCCCACGGTCGGGGGTCCGCTCGCGCTCCTTTCGGAATGTGTCGCTTGGCCGCGTTCTGGATGGTTTCCGTCAGGCGTGTGGCGGCCTCCTGAGCCGTCCGCGTCGGCACCGCCCCGGTCAGGGCAGCCTCGCAGTCGTCCTGGAAGGCTCGCCAGTCCGCCTTGTGGTGAGCCCATCTGGCCTTCCTCTTCCTCTGAGGACGCGCGTCGGATGCCCGGATGGTGATCTTCATCGGTAGGTGATCGCTGCCGAGGTCTTGACCAACTTCCCAGGTCGATCTGCGCGCCATCATCTCGCCGCACACCGCGAGGTCCGGTGCGGAGTGACTACCAGAGCGGTAGCTGGTGAATGTCGGCTCTCCAGAGTTTAGAGGCCGCCATCCGATGTCGTCCAGCCAGTCCGCCACTCGCTGTCCCACCTCGTCCGGCCCATCGCAGGCGGCGTCCCACAGGGGGTGGTGCGCATTAAAGTCCCCCAGGACCAGCGTTTTGTCGTCTGTCGGGATGGACGCCGGGTCGAAGTTGTCGGCACGATCGTCTCCCGTCGCCCGGATCGGCGGTCTGTCCCTCCTGTAGGTCGCCACCCTGCTACATATTGCCGCCCTTCTGCTGATCGGCGTCCTCATAATTATTGGCGCTCTCCTACCTATTGCCCCTCATGTGAAATTTTCAAGGCCGCCTTTCTCCTTTTTGGCACCCTATTGTTCAGTGCCGCCCTCCTACCTATTGGTTCCCTAGTCCTTCCTGTTGAATGTTAATCGGGGCCCTTCTCTTATTGGCGCCCTCGTGTTGATCGCCGCCCTCCTAACCACTGGCACCCTCCTGTTGATCACCGCCCTCCTATCCACTGGTACCTGCCTGTTGACCAGCGCCCTCCGCACAGACGCCCTCCTGTTCGTGTCATCCTCTTGAGCAAAGGCGCCCTCCTCACCATTGCCACCCCCATTTTAATCGTCACCCTTCCGCTCATTAACGACTTCCAGTTGATGACCGCCCTCCCACCTATTGGCGACCTCTTGTTGATCGCCACCCTCCTATTGGTGCTCTCCTGTTCCTCGCCACCCTCTTACCTGGTGGCGCCCTCCTGTTGATTGTTGATCGGGGCCCTCCTACCTATTGGTGCCCTCCTGTTGATCGCTGCCCTTCTATCCATTGGCGCCCTCCTGCTGCTCGCCAACTTCCTACCTATCGATGCCCTACTATCGAAACTCGGGATGTTGATCGGGGCTCTCCTACCTATTAGCGCCCTCCTGTGGATCGCAGCCCTTCTACCTATTGGCAACATCCGTTGATCGCTGCCCTCTTATAATTTATTTACTCCTTTGGCATGTTTTTCAACTTAGTCGTTCTATTGCACATAGTTGATGTCTTGCCTGTGAAAACTGCCACAAATGAACGTGCATTCAGCACAATGAATGAAGTACCTATACCTACCAAAACTATCTACGCTCTACGATGCATAAAACACGTCTTTGGTCTTAACGGATTGATCCTACTTTACGTGCATCATGGCATCTATATGGATTACGATTAAGTATTGTCAACAGGTTCGGCCGCAACAGCAGGCATCTGAAGTTTCGGTGATTGAAACTGGTTATGTGGGTACACTGTATGCATCTGTGAGAAGGCTATGAAGGCTGGTCTGAGGTAATTTGGATGATGTTTACGCATCTCGCTCTCCGGTATCAATCCGATACGGTGATTTGGTGCGTAGATATGCCACCGCCAATAAACTTTTATACATCGACACCCATGAGCCAAGCTTTCTATACAGTTTGTGTGGCAGCGGCCCGACCAAACCTTAGGTATTTTTTACACCTTCAAATTTGGTAAAAGAGCGAGAGGAGCTTTGAACGGTGATCGTATAAAAGGCGTGCCTAAAAAGCGGAGGAAAAGGTTGTTTTCAAAAATTTCGCGCGCCTTCGGCGCAGCATTTCAAGAACACTTGACCTTTTGTGACCTGGAGTATAAAGAATACACACGATGCAAAATCAATGCAGCGCGACCTATACGAGGTTACGCAAAAAAAAAAAACTGGTGGCATGGTAAAAAACGCCTCCCAACCCCCCCCCCCACCCCGCTGAGCGTTTTTTTATCTCGCGACCGTATGGCGCCCTCCTTGGGTGAGGTGGCGCCCTCCAAACCCTTGGCCCCCCCCTTCGCGATTTTCTAAATACGCCGCTGTCCCAGCCTAATCCCCATGCTGTTCGTTCCGCCATCTATTGCCATGTTTTGCATTCGCACTTCATGAATTGACCACCCCGCCAAGAAGGTTGGTATCAAGTTGGTATAGGTGTCGCATTGCTCTGGTCGATCAAGCTGACCGCTGAGCCAACTGTCTGGAGAGTGGAGCCGATCCAAAAAACGCAGAAATTCAAAAGACCGACTCCAAAGCAATGGCAGCATGCATATCAAAAGAGCGTCATTCTGTCATGATTGCGTCAGAAGCAAACATAATGGCAAGAGTTTCTTGTGTGTCGGTAGGCGCGTGTGGAGCCGCTGGACCGACCGGGGACGTACCCAAGGGGGGACGGACGGGGTGCGCCTCCCCCCTAGGGGTTTTCAGGGCCCATGCTGGCAGAAGGCCAACGTTGGCCAAAATCACGTCGGAGACGAACGAAATTCATGGGAATCCCCCAAAAAATCACGTCAGGACTCAGGACAATCAAGGCTCTCCGACTCGCCTGCCACCTAGGGCCCTTCAATTTACTGCGTGGGGCCTCCTGTGAATAACCGCTAGTGTCTGTGTCTGACCACTAGGACCCTGGACCCCTCTGACTCCTCGGGTAGAGGGCCCTCTGTAGGTAGGAGGCTCTCTCTACGGGATTCCTCCGCTCCCCCCCCCCCCCCCTCGGCCAAATTCTAGGTTATACGTGCCTGCGCTAAGCCGGGGTCGGAGAGAGGAGTTGACGACCGAATGACAAGGAGTACTCGTCCTGAAAGTAAACATTTGGAATATAAACAATCCAAAGCTGTTCAGTATTTATATCATTCGAGAGCAGTGCCTTCAATTTGGATACACTTAGCATTCATTTCCCACACCCGTGTACACTCCACGAAGGCTTCTCCGCTGCGGACTCCCGCTTCCGCCGATGCGTCAGTTCTGTTATGGTCGGTAGTGGCGATTAACACGGCGATATCCTTGGAGCGACACAGGACGACCGAAACACGATGGCGGCGACCATGGAACTGTTTATTTTTTATGTGCTTCCATATGACCGGGGGGTGAGACCAAATGAAGGGAAAGGAAGACGTGCCCCATCACAACACCCCCCCCCCTCAAGACGCATGCGTCGGTACAAGATACGTATTGCGTCTAACACATAAACAAAAATGTACACCACACACGGTGTGGACGCACGAACTCAGTCGTACGTCTGGTCCGCCCTGCGCACGGTCAGTCGGGCCGGACGGCGACGGCGGCGCGTCCCACGGCGCACTGAGCTGGGGTCGTCGGCGCTGTTCCGCAGCACCGGTGGTGCCGGCTGTCCGCCCGCCGGCGCAGCGGCGGCGGTCTCCTCCGTGCCGTCGGGTGCCGAGCTCGGAGCGAGCTGCTGCCGGCGCCCGGGTGCAGGTGTGGCGGCGCCCTCCGAGATGAGAGATCTCTGGGGTCGCAGATAGCGCTGGTTCCGCCAGTAGACTCGGCCACTGGGCAGCCGGACCAGGTAGTCGCGCCGCTGTCCGACCGCCGTGATGACGCCGACGCGGTCCCACAGCCCCGACCGCGGGTCTTGGACGAGCACACGCCGACCCATGGTGAGCGCGCTGTGCTGGCGGGCTGTCGTGTCGTACCGCTCGGCTGTTTCCTGTTGCTGCGCGGCGGCCCTGGCGTCACAGTCGTCCGCCGCCCGCTGCCAGCAGTCGGCGAAGGCCCGGTGGTGCGCCGGCACTGCCGATCTCAGCGGGTGGCCGAACAGGACCTGAGCCGGAGAGCGGCCGTCGGCGCGCGGCGTGTTGCGCAGCCCCAGCAGCCCCTGCGCGTAGGCGTCCGTGTCGAGCTCGCCGCTGCTGGTCGCCTTCTGGATGAGCCGTTTGGCGGCCTTGACCGCCGACTCGGCGTGCCCATTAGACTGAGGGTAGTGCGGTGTAGAGATCTGGTGCTCCACTCCCCAGCGGCGCAGAAACTCTCGGGTGAGCCGGGCGGTGAACTGGTGTCCACCGTCTGTCCGGAGGGTGGTGGGCACGCCGGTGGCCGCGAATATCTGGCGCAGGCTGCAGACCAGGTCTCTGGCAGTCGCCTCGCCGGCCACGTGCGACACAAACGGCCACCCGGACAGCCGGTCCGCGTATACCAGGAACGTGCGGCCGGCCCAGGCGAAGTAGTCAGCGGAGACAGCCTCAAGCACTCGTGATGGCGTCTTTTCCGGCATCAGCGGCTCCTTCTGCTGACTGGGCAGGTACTGCTGGCAGGCCGGGCACGCTCCGACATGGTTCGCAATGTCACTGTCCAGGAACGGCCAGTAGACTACCTGCCGCGCGCGGCGTTTGGTGCGCTCGACGCCCTGGTGACTGGCGTGCAGGCGCTCGAGCGTGGCGCGCCGCAGACTGGGCGGTATCACGAGCCGCTGGCCGCACACCACCAGGCCGTCGTCCACGGCCAGCCGGTCCCGAACTCCCCAGTACGGTCGGAGGCGCGGGTCCAGCTGTGACCGGTGCTCTGGAAACCCGTTCAGGATCAGGTCAGTGACTGCGATGAGCTCCGGGTCGGCGGCGGCGGCGGCGCGCACCTCTGTCAGCGCCGCGTCTTTGAACGGGCTGGGACCGTCGTCCGCCCCGTCGGTGGCCAGCCGTGAGAGCACGCTGGCGAGCTGATGGCTGGCGTCCCTCTCGGCTTCCTCGTCCTCAGGCGCCGGGTCATCCACCGGCGCGCGCGACAGCGCGTCCGGGATGGCGTGCAGCTTGCCTTGCCGCCAGATGGCGAGCAGGTTGAACGGCGCCAGCCGTTCTCGTAGCCGCTGGAGCCGCGGATTTTCGATCTCCGCAAGGCTCTTACTGTTGAGGATCGGGATGAGCGGCCGGTGATCGGTCAGGACTTCAAACCGCTGCATCCCGCCGAGATAGATGCTGCATTTCTTGCAGGCCCAGGCCAGGGCCAGCAGCTCCAACTCGATCACGGCGTACCGCGACTCGGCGTCCGATAGGAAGCGTGAGCCGCACTGGATCAGTCGCCACCGGCCTGCGGCGTCTTGCTGCAGCAGGCAGTAGCCCAGGCCGCCGGAGCGAGCGGCGTCAGTCTCAAGGACTGTGCGGCGGCGAGGGTCGAAGAAGTCGAGCACGGGAGGCGACGTGAGTGCCATCTTCACCGCGCTGAACGCCTGCTCGTGCGCTGGCGTCCACAGCCACGCGTTCCGCGGCCGCAGCAGCTGTCTCAGCGGCTAGGCGGCGGCGGCGACCTCTGGGGAGAAGGCGCCGAGCTGGGTCACCAGGCCGAGGAACGACCGTAGGTCGGTGATGTTGCCCGGCCTGGGGAAGGCCTGGATGGCACGGACTTTCTTGCCGTCGGCGGTATAGCCAGCCGAATTGATGCGAAAGCCGCAGAATTCGACCTCGTCTTCCGCGAACTGACATTTGTCCGGGTTGAGTGTGATACCGTGCTGGTCACACCTTAGCAGAATCTGCCGCACGTGCTGCAGGTGGGCGGCGTAGTCAGCGTCATAGGCCAGGACGTCGTCCACGACCTTACACGTGCGCGGGATGTCGCCGAGCGCGGCGTCACCGCGCTGGTTGTACACGTCGCCAGAGCTGACGATTCCCATTGGAGCCCTCAGGTACCGGTAGCGGCCCCACGGCGTGATAAAACACGTCAGGTCTCGTCTCTGTCTTCTGGCCGGATGGGGACCTGGTGGTACCCCGCCTTGCTGTCCAGCTTGGTGAAGTACGCAGCGCCGGGTGAGACGAAGGCGAGTGCGTCTTGAGGCGAGCGGACCGGGTACGTCGGTCGCTTCACGAACCGGTTCAGTTTCGTGAAGTCCACGGTCAGCCGACAGCCGGACACTGTGCCGTCTGACGACCCCTTGGCCACAGGAACGATCGGATGACACCAGTCTGTGGGGTGCTCCACCGGCTCGATGATGTCCTTTTCCATCAGCTCGTCGAGTTGCAGTCGCACGTCCTCTCGCCAACAGAACGGGATATTCCGGGCGGTGGTCACAGCGTGAGGGACGGCGTCGTCCGTCAGCTCGATCTTCATCGGCTCCCCCGTCATCTTCCGCAGGGTCGACTCCGTATCGAAGACCCTCGGGAACTCGGCTTTCAATCTGTCGAAATCTGCCCGCCGCTGCCGTGCGGAGGGGGTGCCACCGGCGGCCGGGCGGCGGCGCGCGCGTAGGGCCGGGCGGCGGCGCCCGCCCGGTCGGGTCGGCGCCGGCCGAGCTGGCGGCCGGCCGGTCGGCGGCAGAGACGCGGCTTATGTCCCGGGTCTCCTCAGGTGCCGCCGTCGTGCCGCTGCAGCGCCGTAGTGCGGGCTGTCTGCCGGCGGCGGGGGCCTCAGGCGGCTCGCCGGGCGGCGGCGGCTCCGGTGCCCCACCGTCCGTCCCAGTCTCGGCTGCCGAGCCGCGCTGGCAAATCTGCCGGGGAAAGCTCGCCGGTAGAATTCCCAGGCCGATACAATCGTGCCACGACAGCAGTGGTGAGTGCAGTGCTCGCAGAACGGACACCTGCACGGTCTGTATGACGTCACCGAGCTGCAGGGTGAGGGCGCACGTGCCCACACAGTCCAGCCGGCGGCTGTCGGCGGCCCACAGCACAGCCGTGGAGGGCGTGAGGTCCGCTCTGCTCACTCCCATGGACTCGGCTTGTTGCAGTGAGAGGGCTGATATCTCGGCGCCTGTGTCGGGCGTCCATACGGTCGTCCGCCTGACTCCGTTTGGCAGGTGCAGCTGTAGCCGGACCTGCGGCGACCGGTGGGCCGTCACAATGTTGAGGCGCGCGCCCGGCGTCCGGGCTGCCGGCGGCGCTGACTGCTGCCGGTTCCCCGTGTCTCTCGTGGTTGCATTCGCTGCCAGCACCGAAACCTGCCGGTGCGACGCGTCGGCAGCCGTGCTGACACGGCGGCGGCTGATTGCGCTACGGTGGCGCCGGCCCCTCCCCTGGCGGCTGCTGCTCGCGCTACGGAAGCGCCAGTCCTGTCCCTGGTGGCTGCGCTCGGAACTAGGCGTCTGCCGGCGCCGCTCTTCAGTGCCCGCGGCATGCCGACAGACCGAGGAAAAGTGGTCCCGTTCGTGGCCATCGGTGGCAGGTGCGACCCAGGGCGGGGCAGGCACGACCGTCCGTGTGCTGCGCGGCACCGCAGCGGTCACACCGCCGGGTCTGGTCGGCCGAGCGCGAGTCCGCGCCGCTCGGCCGACCGCGCTGTCGCCGGTACTCGGAGAGCCGGCGCAGAGACGGCTCGCCCGGGCCACGGATCGCCGAGCTGTTGAGACGGGCGCTCTCGGACGCCCGGCACAGGTCGGCGGCCATCTGGAAGGTCAGATCGGGCAGTTCCAGCATGCGGCGTCTGGCCTCGTCATCACTGGTGCCCACCACCAGATGGTCTCGGAACCTATCATCGGTGCAGTTCGGGCAAAAATCACAGCAGGACGCTATCTCCTTCAGGGCGCAGATAAAATCGTCCACTGACTCGCCTGGCTCCAGCATCCGCATGTTAAACTCGCAGCGGTCGATCACCACGTTCCGCTGCCGCCGAAGGTGGGTGTGCATGGCGGTGATTACATCGGCCATGGACGCCTCGGCCGGGATGGGCAGGCCAAACCGGACCACGCGGGCCCAGTCGTCGTCGAGAACAGCGAGCAGGGCGGCCCGCTGCTCAGCCTCGGTGAGATCGTGGACGCCGGTGAGGAGGCAGTAGCCGGAGAACTTCTCTTTCCAGGCCTCAAACTCCTTGAGGGTAGCGGTAGCCGCCAGCCGGGGCGTGGGCGTGCCGGCGGCGGGCATGCGTGCACGCGGCCGGGCGCCGGAATCGGGCCCCGCGGCTGCCTGGGCGGGTGCCGTGGCGTCCTGCACGGCCGTCGGGCCGGGAAGCACCCGCTCCAACAGCGCCGCCATCCGCTCCTCACGTCGCGCTGCCGCTGCAGCCAGCTCCAATTGCTGCTGCAGCATGCCCCGAAGTAGCTCCATCTCAGACGGCTTCTCGGCGGCGGCGGCCGACTGCGCCTCATCGCCGCCCGCCATCTTGGACGCGCGCGCCGCACACAGATGTCACTCGCGACTGGCGACACGAGCATGAATCAGAGATTATCCCAGCCGCTCGCCAGGTTTCGTGCCCCACCCCACGCCAGCCCGTCACCGACTTCAGTCGGCTGGGCGGCCCATCTTCCGCGATAGTCCTGAGGGCTTGCCCTCGGGGAGCGCGTGCGCCTTGGCGAAGAGCTTCGCTACCAGCACGTCTCGCCGGGCGGCCAGCGGGCACCGGCATCAGTCCGGACTTCACCATCACTGCGTGGGCTGGGATAAACAAGGGGCAGCCGGTGATATACGGGTCACCGCCTGCATCTCCCTTTGGAGGAGTTCCACGTGGGATTGTGGCGTCACCGGGAGCCAGGTGGCGGCCGCGTGCACCAGCACTCCACGGACGTATCCAGACGCTACAGCGCAGAGCTGTCGTTCCTCTAGTCCCCAGCGCCGCGCTGTCAGCTTGCGAAGCTGCTGGATCCGGGGCGCACTCGGGAGCGGAGACTGCGGCAATGGGCCCCGAAGTGAAGGAGCAGGTTGAGGGGGTGGCTCCGAGTAGTTTGAGACGGTCGGCTGCTGGAACCGACTTTCCGTCGACTTTGATGGCACAGTCCACGGCGTCCGCGGCGCTCTAGGAGACGACGAGCAGCTGCGTATTTCACCCGCTACCAGCATCTTGGACTGTTTTGCCCAGCGCAACACAGCGTACGTCGCCTGCCGCGTCCGGCCCCAGTTCAGTATCGTCTGTTTCCATTAACACTCTGAAATGACAAAATAATTAGCCATTAAAATCAAAGTTCAGCACTGACGAAGTTTAACCAAACTTGCCATTTCAACATAACACAGTGAGCTGTCAGAATGCTGTTCTTTTGTGCTTTGACACAGTTGCAAAATAGGTACCTTCATACGTATATCATAGAAGTAATTACTGGTTATTATTATTGGAGGATTTTTTTGCAGCATTCTCGTCAAGTAAAATACATTATCTTCTTTAAAAGGACCATAGTGTGAGGTGTAAATACAGTCTGTAAGGTTGTCCAGACTAATTGTGCCCCTATTTGTACGGTCTGGGCTGGAGCATGTACTGTTGGCATGTTTGCACGTCCACTTTGGATTAATCTGGCATGCTAAGCGAATGCGATGGCAGCGCCTTGCATTGCTTGCATGCGGTGGTTGGCATTGTTGGGAGGTGTTCTGACTATCTGTTTGTCCCGCTTTGCCCACAGCGTCGACTGGGTTGAATATACTTGTATTTCTGAGTGAACAGTTTCTCACATTTGGAGGCAGCCATTCAACCCAGTCTGGAACCCACTCTTGCTTCCGAAGACGCTTGAGGTGGCAGAATTCCAGCAAGTCAATGAGTTTTTGTGATAGCGTGGATGAAAAAGTTCAAGCACTCTCTTTAAAGTAGCGGCCAAGGAGCCACGGACACAGGACATGGCGTGTGCCCCTGTTAAGCCAGACAGATTTAATGGTTCTGGTGATGTGGAAAGATTCTTGGCCCATTTTGAAGTGTTGTCAAAAGCCAATGAGTGGTCAGAACAAAAGCAGTTCCTGCAGCTCCCTGCCTGCCTGACTGGACCAGCTTTTGATTTTTATCGCCAGTTGCCTGCCATGGAGTGTACTGACATTCACACACTGAAAAAGGCGCTCAAAGCTGAGTATCATACACCAGCTCTCCCTACAGATTATGCCATCATGCTGTCCAAGCGTTCACGCATGCCTGGAGAAACTGTCATGCAGTATGGCGAGGCTTTGAAGAGCCTTGGCAGGAAAGCATATGCTCCCTTCAGTGAAGAACAGTTGGGAACTGTTTGTCGCTCCACATTTCTGAACAATGTTGATGAAGCTATGAGAGTGCAGTTACTACTGACCCTGAAGGAAACAGAAAGTTACAGGGACCTACTGCAAAGAGCTCGACAGCTGGAGCAGGTAATGGGACCTCGTGTACGTCATATTGAGGAACAGTCTCAAGAGCACCGCCTGGAGGATGAGGTATCCAAGCTGTCCCTGGTTGTGGCGAATCTGGAGAAGAAGGTGGATGCACTCCAGGCAGGACGACAGGAAAGGACTCACAGACGTTCACCGCCGGGGCCGTGTCCGAACTGTGGCCTGGAGGGACACTGGCGTAGGGAATGTACCAAGCCCAGTAAGGATCGACAGCAGACAAGTGCTGCAGAGGTTATTTGCTTCAAATGCAATACGCCTGGACATTTTGCTAAGGGTTGCGCGGCCCATTTTCAGTAGGCGCGGCTGGCGGGGGTGGGCGGAGAGTGATTCGTACCTCTGTACGTCCACTTTACCCCGAGTCGGCCGCGCCTTGCAGCTGGAGCGCGGATTACCTGAACGGTGATGTTGTGTCGTCCTCCGTATGGAGGCCGGCCGCGGCGGCCCGCGGCTCGTCGGTGCGTGGATCTTAGAGCCGGCCCGCTCCGGCCGGCGGCTCGTCGGCGCTGGAGTCCAGTAGCGCGCCTGCTGCGGCCGGCGGCTCGTCGGTGCGTGAATCCTGGAGCGCGCTCGCTACGGCCGTCAGCTCGTCGGCGCTGGAACCCTGGAGTCCGCCCGCTGCGGCCGGCGGCTCGTCGGCGTTGGAGTCCAGTGGCGCACCTGCTACGCTCGACTACTCGTCGGCACCGGACCTCCGTGGTGCGCCCGCTGCGGCCGGCGGCTCGTCCGCGCTGGAGTCCAGAAGCGCGCCTGCTGCGCTCGGCTGCTCGTCGGCGCCGGACCCCGGTGGCGCGCCTGCTGCGGCTGGCGGCTCATCGATGCTGGAACCCTGGAGCCCGCCCGCTGCGGCTGGCGGCTCATCGATGCTGGAACCCTGGAGTCCGCCTGCTGCGGCCGGCGGCTCGTCGGCGCTTGAGTCCAGTGGCGCGCCTGCTACGCTCGACTGCTCGTCGGCGCCGGACCCCCGTAGCGCGCCTGCTGCGGCCGGCGGCTCAACGGCGCTGGAGCCTCGGGGCGCGCCTGCCGCGGCCGGCGGCTCGGCGCTGGAACCTCGGGGCCCGCCTGCTGCGCTCGGCTGCTCGTCGGCACCGGACCCCCGTGGCGCGCCTGCTGCGGCCGGCGGCTCATCGGCGCTGGAGTCCAGTAGCGCGCCTGCTGCGCTCGGCCGCTCGTCGGCGCCGGACCCCGGTGGCGCGCCTGCTGCGGCTGGCGGCTCATCGATGCTGGAACCCTGGAGTCCGCCCGCTGCGGCCGGTGGCTCATCGGCGCTGGAGTCCTGCTGCGCTCGGCCGCTCGTCGGCGCCGGACCCCGGTGGCGCGCCTGCTGCGGCTGGCGGCTCATCGATGCTGGAACCCTGGAGTCCGCCCGCTGCGGCCGGCGGCTCGTCGGCGCTGGAGTCCAAAAGCGCGCCTGCTGCGCTCGGCTGCTCGTCGGCGCCGTACCCCCGTGGCGCGCCTGCTGCGGCCGGCGGCTCATCGATGCTGGAACCCTGGAGTCCGCCCGCTGCGGCCGGCGGCTCGTCGGCGTTGGGGTCCAGTGGCGCACCTGCTACGCTCGACTACTCGTCGGCACCGGATCCCCGTGGCGCGCCCGCTGCGGCCGGCGGCTCGTCGGCGCTTGAGTCCAGTGGCGCGCCTGCTACGCTCGACTGCTCGTCGGCGCCGGACCCCCGTAGCGCGCCTGCTGCGGCCGGCGGCTCATCGGCGCTGGAGCCTCGGGGCGCGCCTGCCGCGGCCGGCGGCTCGGCGCTGGAACCTCGGGGCCCGCCTGCTGCGCTCGGCCGCTCGTCGGCACCGGACCCCCGTGGCGCGCCCGCTGCGGCCGGCGGCTCGTCGGCGCTGGAGTCCGGTGGCGCACCTGCTACGCTCGACTACTCGTCGGCGCCGGACCCCGGTGGCGCGCCTGCTGCGGCTGGCGGCTCATCGATGCTGGAACCCTGGAGCCCGCCTGCTGCGGCTGGCGGCTCATCGATGCTGGAACCCTGGAGCCCGCCCGCTGCGGCCGGCGGCTCGTCGGCGCTGGAGTCCGGTGGCGGGCCTGCTGCGCTCGGCTGCTCGTCGGCGCCGGAACCCCGTAGCGCGCCTGCTGCGGCTCCAGCCGAGGCTGTACAAATAGGGGCACAATTAGTCTGGACAACCTTACAGACTGTATTTACACCTCACACTATGGTCCTTTTAAAGAAGATAATGTATTTTACTTGACGAGAATGCTGTAAAAAAAACCTCCAATAATAATAACCAGTAATTACTTCTATGATATACGTATGAAGGTACCTATTTTGCAACTGTGTCAAAGCACATGTAAAACAACCATTCCCGCAATTGCTCCTTCTCAGTGGAATTGGGAGTGGAAAATTGGGCTTGAAAACTGGAGGTGAGAGTGGAAAATGATTTGCATTTGGATGTCGTTTCCCACCCACATCTACAAATTTTGGGACACTGCGCAGCAGTCAATGCACATTATGGTTCAATCGCAAGCCTTGCTTTAATCAACAAAAGAAAATTATTTGTTCTATCATGCATCATGAATTAACGAAATTTTTGTTCATATTTTTTTACCTTTTCTCATAATTTCATGCACACCTTAAAATCATGAAACTGTAGCAAGCAACTGATTTGAAGATAGAAAAGTCCTTGCTACATTTCTCGACATTATCAAAACATCTTTTTCCAAACATAGGACCTATCAACATCCTGGAAATATGAGACTTAGCAATACCTATTGAGGTATATTGAGGTTCCATACCCTTGACAAGGCAAATGCACCAGCTTTTAAACCAAAACAACTTTACCAACTTTTAAATAAATTTGTGACTTCCATTGATACTCCCTTACAAAAAAATCATTGTTGTTGCCTGCTGGATCGAACAGCGAAAGAGCCCCCTCGCCCCTTCCGTGAGACCTGCACAAACTTACCAGGAGTCTGCAGTCAGAACACGACACCGTGACCGTAATCATATATTGAAAAAGGGCATAGCGTATAGAAGAGTAGCAACTAGCGTCTCACTGACCTTAGGCCAAAATATTTCTCTTCATGACATCCACACAAGGCCAATGCAATGTATGTAGATAGGCATATCAATACAGAAATGATATATCCAAATATGTCTTTGCCGCGTCATAGTTGTAACGCACTACGGGGATCTCCAGAGATCTGATTGGCTAATATTAGCCAATCAGTAGCATATGTTACTGGAAACTGTCATAGTGGAAGTAAATTGGTAGCTGTTTCAGCTACCAAATTGATGAAGGAAATAGGGAAAATTGCTTATTTTACACGAACACCAGTCATACGCTAATCAAAGTAGAGCTAATGAGAATGGCATTATCCCACGAAGGAAAGCCAATTTGCCACGTAAGCCACCATGAATAGATTTGCTGAGCTTGTCATCACGTGTTTTTAACAAAAAAAAGTCAATGAAATCATGTAATTTACGAATTTCTAGCACTCACATGCATATTTTCGTCTGCACACCGAATTGCGTCCAGGATATTAGCCATGGCGTATTTCTCGTGAACCCTCTGTTAGTGGAAATTCCACTATCTGGCAACTAGCCCTATGTAAACGCGGCTATTGTGTTGAAATCAGGATAGTGAATGCATATTGCATGTCATGTTTCCTACGGCTCACAGCACGGCTTTTCAGCAGGTGTCAATACATACCAACTATCATTTGTCTCGTCTGTCTTTAATCCATAGTTACAATTTCTGCGTCAGTTTTTTATCAGAAAGGAAGGCTCACACAAACACAACATACATAGGTCAAAAGACGTCCTTACTAAGCGCCTCACTTGAAAACGTAGCATAAATGCTTGCTGTCTGAAAGAAAGAATTAAGATATTCAGATAATGGCAATGATTAAAACTTTCCTCTTGAAATAGCTTACGTTATAAAGCAGCTAACGTTGCGTACAATTTTGATCATATCATCCTTATTAAATGCATAGGTGCTCTGAATGGTAGAACGCTTTCCCTTGTTATTGGTCCTAAAGAAGACATCATTTTTCATCCCGTATTTCAAACTTTGGAAGACTAACTACATTATAGCCTTAATTCGTGTGTTAATTGCGCTCCCAGCATGTTAAAGACATCCAACATTACAAATTATCAACGCTGCGATCGCGTCCAGTTAGTTTCCGTAAATGGCCCCAACTGTCGGTGCCAGCGAGCAGTCATCACGCGAGGGGAGAAGCCACTGGCGGAGCCTCCCTGAATGGCCGGCTAGAGTGCTTCTGAGCTGATATTAATGCCGCCAACGCGCCACTAAACTGCAGAACTTGCCGTTCTGACTTACATACAGTCTGTCTGTCCATGATTACTACTCGTTAGCACCACTGTAATGGAGAATATGCACATACTCGAGCAGCTGAGTGGCCGGGCGGTGGATTGTGGACGGACGGCATGCAGCTAGATTCCCCATCTGATATATAATTCAGCGCTGCCGGCTGCACAAGTGCACATGGGCAGTGACAGGACGGGTCGTACAGTACGTGCTGGAATTGTGCTCAATCTCCGGTCGGCATATGCCAACGATACTCGGCGTTTAGCCGCTAAGGCTTATAACCATGCTCATCAACACACTCGGCAAACAATGAATTTTGTTAGCGAGCGAAGAGGCTTTACGGTTTCGGGTTTCAGGGAGACAGTGTGTCAAAGGCTATTCGTCGCAACACAGTAATAATTTGTTAAGCTTTATGTGAGGCTAATTACAATGAAAAAACTTGCCTCGTCACTAAAATTCAGTGGGCCGGATTGGGTTACAATCATCTCGGAATAGGTGGTTCAACAAACACTCGGGTTACGCACGTCAATCTGACGTCACCTCGCGCACCCCAACCGTGAATACCTACTGGGCGCCGATTGGCGGACACACCCGTGCCTGGTGCCGACTGAACGAGGCACGGCCGCACGGGCAGCGCTTCAGGCTGCAATTGTCGCGGACTAGGTACTTCAACAAAGACTCGAGCATAGCCAGAACCTGGTCAGTCCATTTTTACCCATGCCACTGACTTTGGCTTCGTAAAGGAAAAAGAAAGCACGTGAAATTTGTCGAAAAAGCAAAGGATGCGCGGTACCAATTTTAGATGTCCGTCAAGACAGCCCATATTCAGCCCAGATTCAGCCCGGATTCAGCCCAGATTCGGGACACCTCCGATCAAGCTGAAACTCGCACACAATGTAGGCCATGACATGCCCAATCCACAGTCCAAGTCATTCGGTGGCACTCCCAGCCGTTTGACCTACAGAGGTCAGCAAAGGTCACGTGGCCCAAATTTGCACAGCAGATTGTGGCCCACCCAGTAGAGCTAGAGCGCTAAAAATGGCACCAATCGACTCGCCAGCATCTAATCTTACTCTGTAGGTCAAACGGCTGGGAGTGCCACCGAATGACTTGGACTGTGGATTGGGCATGTCATGGCCTACATTGTGTGCGAGTTTCAGCTTGATCGGAGGTGTCCCGAATCTGGGCTGAATCCGGGCTGCGACGTATTGAGTGTCGTTTATTTGCACATTTTGACCTGCCGAGGTCAAACGGGGTCACATATCGAAAAGCGGTTTTTAAGGAAAGTTACTACGGCCTATGGGCTACCCGATGATGTGCTCTGATTTGGAATTCGGTCAATCCATCTACTCGAAAACTGCTGTGCAAGTGTATTTTCGACATAGCCCACAAATGACCTTAGGTCATCGCATAACCTTCAGAGGTCAAATGAGTGATGGGAAAGTAAGATTAGATGCTTGCGAGTCGATTGGTGCCATTTTTAGCGCTCTAGCTCTACTGGGTGGGCCACAATCTGCTGTGCAAATTTGGGCCACGTGACCTTTGCTGACCTCTGTAGGTCAAACGGCTGGGAGTGCCACCGAATGACTTAGACTGTGGATTGGAGATGTCATGGCCTACATTGTGTGCGAGTTTCAGCTTGATCGGAGGTGTCCCGAATCTGGGCTGAATCCGGGCTGCGACGTATTGAGTGTCGTTTATTTGCACATTTTGACCTGCCGAGGTCAAACGGGGTCACATATCGAAAAGCGGTTTTCAAGGAAAGTTACTACGGCCTATGGGCTACCCGATGATGTGCTTTGATTTGGAATTCGGTCAATCCATCTACTCGAAAACTGCTGTGCAAGTGTATTTTCGACATAGCCCACAAATGACCTTAGGTCATCGCATGACCTTGAGAGGTCAAATGAGTATTGGGAAAGTAAGATTAGATGCTTGCAAGTCGATTGGTGCCATTTTTAGCGCTCTAGCTCTACTGGGTGGGCCACAATCTGCTGTGCAAATTTGGGCCACGTGACCTTTGCTGACCACTGTAGGTCAAACGGCTGAGAGTGCCACCAAATGACTTGGATTGTGGATTGGGCATGTCATGGCCTACATTGTGTGCGAGTTTCAGCTTGATCGGAGGTGTCCCGAATCTGGGCTGAATCCGGGCTGCGACGTATTGAGTGTCGTTTATTTGCACATTTTGACCTGCCGAGGTCAAACGGGGTCACATATCGAAAAGCGATTTTCAAGGAAAGTTACTACGCCCTATGGGCTACCCGGTGATGTGCTTTGATTTGGAATTCGGTCAATCCATCTACTCGAAAACTGCTGTGCAAGTGTATTTTCGACATAGCCCACAAATGACCTTAGGTCATCGCATGACCTTGAGAGGTCAAATGAGTGTTGGAACAGTAAGATTAGATGCTGGCGAGTCGATTGGTGCCATTTTTAGCGCTTTAGCTCTACTGGGTGGGCCACAATCTGCTGTGCAAATTTGGGCCACGTGACCTTTGCTGACCTCTGTAGGTCAAACGGCTGGGAGTGCCACCGAATGACTTGGACTGTGGATTGGGCATGTCATGGCCTACATTGTGTGCGAGTTTCATCTTGATCGGAGGTGTCCCGAATCTGGGCTGAATCCGGGCTGCGACGTATTGAGTGTCGATTATTTGCACATTTTGACCTGCCGAGGTCAAACGGGGTCACATATCGAAAAGCGGTTTTTAAGGAAAGTTACTACGGCCTATGGGCTACCCGATGATGTGCTCTGATTTGGAATTCGGTCAATCCATCTACTCGAAAACTGCTGTGCAAGTGTATTTTCGACATAGCCCACAAATGACCTTAGGTCATCGCATGACCTTGAGAGGTCAAATGAGTGTTGGGAAAGTAAGATTAGATGCTGGCGAGTCGATTGGTGCCATTTTTAGCGCTCTAGCTCTACTGGGTGGGCCACAATCTGCTGTGCAAATTTGGGCCACGTGACCTTTGCTGACCTCTGTAGGTCAAACGGCTGGGAGTGCCACCGAATGACTTAGACTGTGGATTGGGGATGTCATGGCCTACTTTGTGTGCGAGTTTCAGCTTGATCGGAGGTGTCCCGAATCTGGGCTGAATCCGGGCTGCGACGTATTGAGTGTCGTTTATTTGCACATTTTGACCTGCCGAGGTCAAACGGGGTCACATATCGAAAAGCGGTTTTTAAGGAAAGTTACTACGGCCTATGGGCTACCCGATGACGTGCTCTGATTTGGAATTCGGTCAATCCATCTACTCGAAAACTGCTGTGCAAGTGTATTTTCGACAGAGCCCACAAATGACCTTAGGTCATCGCATGACCTTGAGAGGTCAAATGAGTGTTGGGAAAGTAAGATTAGATGCTGGCGAGTCGATTGGTGCCATTTTTAGCGCTCTAGCTCTACTGGGTGGGCCACAATTTGCTGTGCAAATTTGGGCCACGTGACCTTTGCTGACCTCTGTAGGTCAAACGGCTGGGAGTGCCACCGAATGACTTAGACTGTGGATTGGGGATGTCATGGCCTACATTGTGTGCGAGTTTCAGCTTGATCGGAGGTGTCCCGAATCTGGGCTGAATCCGGGCTGCGACGTATTGAGTGTCGTTTATTTGCACATTTTGACCTGCCGAGGTCAAACGGGGTCACATATCGAAAAGCGGTTTTCAAGGAAAGTTACTACGGCCTATGGGCTACCCGATGATGTGCTTTGATTTGGAATTCGGTCAATCCATCTAACTGCTGTGCAAGTGTATTTTCGACATAGCCCACAAATGACCTTAGGTCATCGCATGACCTTGAGAGGTCAAATGAGTGTTGGGAAAGTAAGATTAGATGCTTGCAAGTCGATTGGTGCCATTTTTAGCGCTCTAGCTCTACTGGGTGGGCCACAATCTGCTGTGCAAATTTGGGCCACGTGACCTTTGCTGACCTCTGTAGGTCAAACGGCTGAGAGTGCCACCGAATGACTTGGACTGTGGATTGGGCATGTCATGGCCTACATTGTGTGCGAGTTTCAGCTTGATCGGAGGTGTCCCGAATCTGGGCTGAATCCGGGCTGCGACGTATTGAGTGTCGTTTATTTGCACATTTTGACCTGCCGAGGTCAAACGGGGTCACATATCGAAAAGCGGTTTTCAAGGAAAGTTACTACGGCCTATGGGCTACCCGATGATGTGCTTTGATTTGGAATTCGGTCAATCCATCTACTCGAAAACTGCTGTGCAAGTGTATTTTCGACATAGCCCACAAATGACCTTAGGTCATTGCATGACCTTGAGAGGTCAAATGAGTATTGGGAAAGTAAGATTAGATGCTTGCGAGTCGATTGGTGCCATTTTTAGCGCTCTAGCTTTACTGGGTGGGCCACAATCTGCTGTGCAAATTTGGGCCACGTGACCTTTGCTGACCTCTGTAGGTCAAACGGCTGAGAGTGCCACCGAATGACTTGGACTGTGGATTGGGCATGTCATGGCCTACATTGTGTGCGAGTTTCAGCTTGATCGGAGGTGTCCCGAATCTGGGCTGAATCCGGGCTGCGACGTATTGAGTGTCGTTTATTTGCAAATTTTGACCTGCCGAGGTCAAACCGAGGTCACATATCGAAAAGCGGTTTTCAAGGAAAGTTACTACGGCCTATGGGCTACCCGATGATGTGCTTTGATTTGGAATTCGGTCAATCCATCTACTCGAAAACTGCTGTGCAAGTGTATTTTCGACATAGCCCACAAATGACCTTAGGTCATCGCATGACCTTGAGAGGTCAAATGAGTATTGGGAAAGTAAGATTAGATGCTTGCGAGTCGATTGGTGCCATTTTTAGCGCTCTAGCTCTACTGGGTGGGCCACAATCTGCTGTGCAAATTTGGGCCACGTGACCTTTGCTGACCTCTGTAGGTCAAACGGCTGAGAGTGCCACCGAATGACTTAGACTGTGGATTGGGCATGTCATGGCCTACATTGTGTGCGAGTTTCAGCTTGATCGGATGTGTCCCGAATCTGGGCTGAATCCGGGCTGCGACGTATTGAGTGTCGTTTATTTGCACATTTTGACCTGCCGAGGTCAAACGGGGTCACATATCGAAAAGCGGTTTTCAAGGAAAGTTACTACGCCCTATGGGCTACCCGGTGATGTGCTTTGATTTGGAATTCGGTCAATCCATCTACTCGAAAACTGCTGTGCAAGTGTATTTTCGACATAGCCCACAAATGACCTTAGGTCATCGCATGACCTTGAGAGGTCAAATGAGTGTTGGGAAAGTAAGATTAGATGCTGGCGAGTCGATTGGTGCCATTTTTAGCGCTCTAGCTCTACTGGGTGGGCCACAATCTGCTGTGCAAATTTGGGCCACGTGACCTTTGCTGACCTCTGTAGGTCAAACGGCTGGGAGTGCCACCGAATGACTTGGACTGTGGATTGGGCATGTCATGGCCTACATTGTGTGCGAGTTTCATCTTGATCGGAGGTGTCCCGAATCTGGGCTGAATCCGGGCTGCGACGTATTGAGTGTCGTTTATTTGCACATTTTGACCTGCCGAGGTCAAACGGGGTCACATATCGAAAAGCGATTTTCAAGGAAAGTTACTACGGCCTATGGGCTACCCGATGATGTGCTTTGATTTGGAATTCGGTCAATCCATCTACTCGAAAACTGCTGTGCAAGTGTATTTTCGACATAGCCCACAAATGACCTTAGGTCATCGCATGACCTTGAGAGGTCAAATGAGTGTTGGGAAAGTAAGATTAGATGCTTGCGAGTCGATTGGTGCCATTTTAGCGCTCTAGCTCTACTGAGTGGGCCACAATTTGCTGTGCAAATTTGGGCCACGTGACCTTTGCTGACCTCTGTAGGTCAAACGGCTGAGAGTGCCACCGAATGACTTGGACTGTGGATTGGGCATGTCATGGCCTACATTGTGTGCGAGTTTCAGCTTGATCGGAGGTGTCCCGAATCTGGGCTGAATCCGGGCTGCGACGTATTGAGTGTCGTTTATTTGCACATTTTGACCTGCCGAGGTCAAACAGGGTCACATATCGAAAAGCGGTTTTCAAGGAAAGTTACTACGGCCTATGGGCTACCCGATGATGTGCTTTGATTTGGAATTCGGTCAATCCATCTACTCGAAAACTGCTGTGCAAATGTATTTTCGACATAGCCCACAAATGACCTTAGGTCATTGCATGACCTTGAGAGGTCAAATGAGTGTTGGGAAAGTAAGATTAGATGCTGGCGAGTCGATTGGTGCCATTTTTAGCGTTCTAGCTCTACTGGGTGGGCCACAATCTGCTGTGCAAATTTGGGCCACGTGACCTTTGCTGACCTCTGTAGGTCAAACGGCTGGGAGTGCCACCGAATGACTTGGACTGTGGATTGGGCATGTCATGGCCTACATTGTGTGCGAGTTTCAGCTTGATCGGAGGTGTCCCGAATCTGGGCTGAATCCGGGCTGAATCTGGGCTGAATATGGGCTGTCTTGATCAACATCAATTTTAGTCTCGTTCTCGGCAAGCAGACACATCGCTCCAACCAAACCCCACGAATGTAACATTCGTGGGTTCTCCAGTCATGAATTTAGATTCGGGGTGGATATAACTAGCGCCACCGTTGCCGATTTACTGGAAATGGGTTGTGAGGACAGCACCAGATCATTCCATTGGTATTCCACAGTGGAATGGAATGGCGCTAGCCGACTCCGCTCCACCGGAGACGAATGAGGCGCGGACGTCGGCCCAGACGTGACGATCCGCCACGGAGAGATTGGAAGTCTGGTAGAAACGGCCGACAATGCGTCCCGCGCCTCGAGGTTTGCATTTTGTGCGCCGGGCTCGGCGCGGGGAAGCCGTAACTGCCGCTTTGGCGGTAATATGCGCCGGAATTGGATCCGCCCCGGGGGACGCTGCCGGCAGCAGAGCGCCGAGGTAAGTGGTGGGTCTGCTGTTTGTTTGCCGAACGCTTTATTCCCGGGCGGAAGCATTTTAGTTGAACCCGTACCAAACATTGAAATAGAATCCGGGGCTCACTCAAATGCTCGCTTGTTGGATATGCCTGAAGTGTTTTGCAAAGAACATGCAAACGTTTCGGAAGCAGTTCTGTTTCTGACAAACACATGAGCCACAGACTTCTCTATATAGAGAAGTCTGTGCATGAGCCGATGGTAATATTTTGACAGGATTGCTTGGGACACTGCTATCGAATGGGAATTCAATAAATTTTCCAATGTAACTTTGATTTCATTTACTGCGACACGCATCTAATCGACAAATGAGCGGAAGAGGGTTTGATGAAAGGTGGCCTTACTATTGTTAGGTATAAATCATAACGTGTCGGTATGCATGTTAGGTCATCATCAGAACAGATATGTGAATTATCCTACTATGTTTGTTTCAGGATATGCATATGTAGTTCGTAGGCTCCGCATCGAGGCGATGAAACTGAAGCAACAAATGGACCTTCGGATTTTTGTGGTCAAAGTAAGTCATTCGCGAGTTGACTAAGCGTGCGTTCGGCATCCGGATAATCAGGGAAAATTTTTCGAGATCACCGGGATCATTCGGTGTTTTAAGCTGACACCGTGCACAACGGTTATGACAACTAGTAGAGGAGCCATTAGTGAAGCAAAATCAATCTAAAAATGTGCCTAATTGCATCAATACCAAATAATCATACCGGTGATCCAGGATAATTATCCCTCATTTTCCGGCTGCCGAACGTAAGGTAAGTGTTGTCATGTGAGAAGCGTATTACGCAGTACATGCATATGAAAAGCGGTGTATCGTAGTCCGTAAGATAACTCCACCGTTTGCACGCTTTATAATAACGCCAGGCGCATGCTGCACCGCATCACACCGCATTGCCCTGAAGTGTCACTTCTGTCCAACAGATGTCTCTCAAATCGAGCGCCTGACGCATGCTGCACCGCATTACCTTGAAGTGTCACTTCTGTCCAACAGATGTCTCTAAAATCGAGCGCCTGACGCATACTGCACCGCAATGCTTGGTAGTTCGTAAAGTGACCGATAGATGTCTCTCTTATTGAGCGTCTGATGTCTTTGTACCGCAGTGCATGGTATCTATGTATGTACTCTCCGTGGTATATATTTTGTGTGGTGGCATAGCATAGTTGCTAATGTTCTCAAAGCCGTTTTTAGCATGGAACAGCATAAGCTATACAAGTAGGTACGTATAAACTGTATGAATGGTGTCTGACCGCTTCGAGCCCTAAGCCGGACTTCCCATTCATCAACTTCTCAACTCAACCGTAAAACAACTGATATTTCACAATGATATTAGCGAAAGTTCCAATATCATGGTACAAAATAGATAAATTACGCACTCTCACCACTTGCGTCGTTACGTACAATCGATTATCATTACGACCTTCAACTGGCGGTGCCGGGACACAGACAACATTCACACACACACACTACATCTTTGGGCGCCACATCGCCCCATCAGTAATCTGAATCACAGACTACAACGCCAAAAATGGAGCCGTGTACTGTCTCGTTGATAAATATGTTATGAAGCCAAACAAAATGGCTTTCGGATGACCCCTAAACGAGCATCTAAAACAAAGGAGATCTAACCGAACAAAATGACTCTGTCACTAGCTATTCCACCGATGGTGGTCAGCCGGGTCAGTCACAGGTCTTCCGGTGCCGGCGGGTCGGGCGAGCCGCCACGCCGGCATCCTTTGTACCTGCGCCGGCCAATGACACGGAGCCTGCCCACCAGCCGAGAGCCGGCACAAAATACACTCCGGGTGCACCAGCAGCCGACACGATGTCAGCCGTGCCAACAGTCCCGGAGAACGCTGTACCATTTTGATGTATTCTTCCCGGCGAAACTGTAAATAGCGCTAGTAAAGAAAACTACGAATCTGGTGTTCTTCCCACGGTATTACCGCTTTTCGCGCTCGCGCTGCATTCTGAAACAGAAAAAGAATGAGAAGGTCAATAACGAAGAGTCATCAGGAACAAACACATCACAATCACGAGAATTAGGGCATAAGAAGCAACGTGATCTTATTCACAATGCGAAGGGAATTAGCATTTAAGGCACCTTCAGTCTGGGAGAATTGTACGATTATATGTATATGCATTTAACTGCGTAACATGAATCACTAATCACTAAGGGCACTTGCGCTACGATTAAGTGTTGGATGCCCACCTGAGGTACTCCTGCTGGTGCTGTGCCAGCAGCGAGGGGTGCAGGGAGGTGGGCACAGAGTGACCCAGCGGCGTCAGACCCATCCGCTCCCGCTCCAGCAGCTGACGCTGCATGTGCTCCTGAGCGGCCGCGTGCGCCGACAGCTGAGAAATGAATAGAGGGGTCAGCAGAGGCAAACAGAGGAATATGACAGCAAAACGGGATTGGCCAGCCAGCGATACATTTATTGACGATGGACAGTTTCTTGCTAATGCTTGCCTTGTATAGTTAACGTCAAATTCAACTCGGTCGCATCATTCACAGCAACTTAATTAAATTTCACATTGTTCACGGTCTCATCACAGCAGCCCGTCTGATTCTCTGAACTGACGGAGCTCCGCCTTCAGTCTGTGCTCACCTGAACCAGCTGTTCCTCGTAGGAGCGCGGCAGGCCGGGCGGCGGGTAGAGGCCGTGGAACAGCGGCGGCTCGCCGGGCCGCGGCGGCAGCAGGCTGGGCCGCGGCGGGCCGCCGGGACCCGACGGTGGCGCCGGCGGCAGACCCGCCTCGTTCGGGTGCACGTGCAGGTGTGTGTGCGCGTGTGTGTGCTGGTGCTGGTGGAAGTCGGGCGGCAGCAGGCCGGCGTTGACCATCTGCATGCCGAGCCGGTCGGCCGGGTCGGAGGGCGGCAGCGGCACACCGCCTCCGCCGCCGCCTCCGCCGCCGCCGCTGGCCGCTGCCAGCCGGGCCTCCCGCTCGCGCGCCTCCAGGGCCGAGAGGACGGCGGGCGAGGGTGGAGGCGGCGGGTACAGCGGGCCAGGGCCCGGCGGGCCGAACAGACCCGGTATCAGCTGACGCCTGTCGGGGGACGGGGAGGTCAGCGGCGCTCTCAGACAGCCGGCCACACCCAGTCGGACCCGACAAACGATCCGAGAAGGCAGACACGTAAACACGGTTAAGCAGCGATAATAACATTGGTGATAGCAGAAATTCGCAGAAAGTTTCAGTAAAAGTTATACTGCATAGTGGCAGAGATACTATTATTGTAACATCCTCATCTCTCAGCATTTTAACTCAACCAGCCACGTGCTCCCTTCCTTCCACAGCGGCGCCACGCAGTCCACTATCCACCCACCCACCTCTGCATCTCGATCCAGTGCGGGTCGAACGGTCGTGCTCTCATCATTTCCTCCTTGATCCGGGCGCTGAAGTCCCGCTCCCGCAGCTCTCGCTCGCGGCGCTCCAGCATCTCTAGCTCCATCCTATAAATGGTCAGATCAGGTCAGGTCAGGTCAGGTGGGGTCAGGTCAGAGGCATAGGCAGGAAGAAAGGGGTGAAGGAGACTTGGTCAGGGCGCAAACATTTGAGAAACTCTCAAGCATGAGGTAAAAAGCTACATTTTTATCAGCAGTTTAAACAATTAACCAATACAGAACAGCTGAGATGCAAGTGCTTTTTCACTAGCGTCGTCTCATTCCTAGAACCACCTCTGACATTATAGTTACATACCTACTGCACTGACGACAGTCTCGGCAGCATACTGACCTGTCCCTCGGGTACATTGCGCCTGGGTGGAGCGCTGACGCCATGGCGTACATGGGGTCCATGTGGGGCGGCAGTGCCATCCCGCTGGAGGAGAGGGGGATGCCCACGGGCGAGCCGACCGGCCGGCCCGACAGGCTGTACTCGCTGGAACAGAGCGAGGGGCGTCACGGTTAGACGCTACGGTTAGACTTTGACGTTACGGTTAAATGTTACAGTTAGGTTAGATGGAAAATAAAACAGTTACATGGAACAGGCAATATGATATTGATGGCTGGAGAAATAGCCACTCGTGAACTGTTCACACTTGTAAGCTTAGCTCAATGGCACTAAGTTAAGACAATAAGTTCCTTTCCGAGCGTCTGCTCTGTCCTCTGCGTTTTCAGGGGTGACTGACCTGCGTCGGATGAGAGCCGGGTCCTGCAGCCGTCCGCCCAGTCGGTCGTGCTCCCCTGGCTGCGGTGTACGAGACGGGCCCTTATCTCGTGACGCCGAGTCGCGACCCGACGTCTCCTTCCGCTGGGAACACGAGAAATTGTGCTTTATTAAAAAAGACTACCGGTCAAAGTCAAAGTAGTTAAGCGGATAAACGCACCATTCAACATCACGGTGTGCGACGACTGAACGTCTGAGCGTTGAGCACACTTACATTTTATGGATGTCCAAGCAAATAAACACGCAGCTCTGAGTTACTGTATAGCTAAATATGCAACGAATCTCATCACAAGGAGCACCAGCCCGTCACTCACCGCCTGCTGCTGCTGCTGCTGCTGCTGCTGCTGCTGCTGCTGCTGCTGCTGCTGCTGCTGCTGCTGTTTCTCCCTCTCCTCCTTCTCCTGTCGCTCCGTCTGCCTCCTCAGCCGCTCCTGCCGGCTGCGCGACAGCTTGCTGTCCGGCACCGGCTTGAAGGTGAGGTCGGTGCGGGCGCAGCTGTTGCCCTCGCCGCGGTTCCAGTGGCGCAGGAAGATGGCGCTCTGGCTGCGGTGGCACTCGGAGTCCTCCAGCACAGGCTCCGGGCTGGCGGGCCGCGGAGTCGGCGGCCTCTCCTCCTCCTCGGCCGGTCCGGACTCGCCGTGGGCCGGGGCGGCGGCGGCGGCGGCGGCCAGTGTGGGCGGCAGCGGCTGACTGGACGGCAGTCCGTCGGCCGGCCGCGGGGGCTGCACGGACAGCGCCAGTGGCTGCTGCTGTGGCGGCGGCGGCGGCGAGGCCGGTCGAGCGGCGGCGTGAGCGATCACAGAGGTGGCGGCGGCCGGCGGCGGGCCGCTGGGGGCTCCGGCCGGGGGGACCACCGCCGGCTCCGGGGCCGGTTGGGACACCGGCGCCAGGCTGGGGCGCGTCAGCGCCAGTCCCACGGGCGTCGGCACCCCCGCTGAGACAGCCGCCGACACAGCTGACACGGCTGGTGTCAGTGCTGACACCGCTGATACGCTCGGAGGCCGTGACGTGGCAGAGGAGCTGACCAGCGCCTGGGGTTCTTCTGAGGACCTCGGCGGGCCTTCCTTGCTCTCAGTCTTCCTCAGATCGAGAGTCTCTCCCAGAGGTCCAGCTCCGAGCGGCGGCCGCGGCGCGTACCGCTGGTACGGATACGGGTACGGATATCCGTACATGTGCGGCGGGTACATACCCTGAGAACCGGGCCCGCCGGGTAGTGACATACCGGGCGGCATACCGGGCATACCCGGCATACTCGGCATAGGTGGCATGGGAGGCATAGGCGGCATTGGCGGCATGTGAGGCGCTGAAGGATGTGACTGCAGCGCCGGCAGGGACGGCACAGACACGATGGCCCGCTCCGAGTTCAGAGTGGTGGTGACGGAGAGCACGCCCAGCGCGGCCGCCGGGCCCGACGACACCGGCTCCCGCTTCACGGGCGTGTGGCGGGCCGGCTCGGGCGCCTCCCGCGGCTCCTGCTTCACCTTGGACAGATTCTGCGGCTCGCAGTCTGCCGGCGGCGGGGACGACCAGCGGTGCGCCGGGTACGCCGCTGACGGCGGCTGCTGCGCCGCCAGTGCCGCCGCCTGCAGCTGCGCCGCTGTGGGTTTGACGTCCGCTGGAGGAGCGGCGGCCGCCTGAGGCAGGTGAGGCAGCTGAGGTGACGGAATGTGAGAGGGAGCGAGGTGAGGTGGGGGAATGTGAGAGGACGGGGGATGTGACGGCGGGAGGTGAGAGGATGGGAGTTGGGACGGCGGGAGGTGAGAGGATGGGAGATGGGACGGCGGGAGATGGGACGCTGGGAGTCCCGGCGGTGGCGCCGACGGCTGTGGTCGGGGTGTTGGCTCAACCATCGCGACGTCTCGGTGCTGTGTTTGAATGGGTCGGTCCGGAGTGCGCTGAAGTAACGGAATAGTAGAGTCTGCCGCGGTCACCGCCGCCGCCGCTGCTGTTGATGCTGCTGTCGCTGCCTCCCGACCGGAATCTAATATCGGCTGGGGTCCCAGTTCCGAGGTACGCTGCTCTGGCTGTACTGGCGGCAGCGGGGAGCGTTGCAGAGAGCGCTGCTGTGGGTGCGGTTGCGCCTGTATTTGCGGCTGAGGTAGTACATGGAGCTGATGCTGCGGCTGGGTCAGCGGCTGCGGCTGGGTCAGCGGCTGCGGCTGGGCCTGGACCGGTATCGGCGGCTCCACCGGCCGCCGCTCCGTCTCCGGCTCCGGGTCCGGCTCCGGGTCCGGGTCCGGCCCGGGGTCGGTGGCCGGCTCGGGCGCCTGTGCCGCCGCCTCCGGGGCCTCTCCTCCCTCGTCGGGCGCCGGGTCGGCAGCGGCAGCCTCTGCCGGCGGTCGGCTCCGGTCGGCGGGAGCCACGGCCGGCTCCGGCTCCTGCGGCTCCGTCTGGGCCGGCGCGGAGGCGGGCCGCGGAGCCGCCGGGGCCGGGACAGGGACAGGGACTGGGGCCGGGGTCCCCTCGTCCGTCTCCTCGTGGACGGCTGTGGAGGAGGCGCGGGACGAGCTCCGCTCGGCCTCCGCCGCGTCCTGGTCGCTGGTCGAGTCGCTCAGACTGTCCTCGCACGAAGTCTGGAAGGAGCTGCGACCGTCAGTGAGGGGCAAAACCCAAACTCAAGGGATATGTCGAATGATAAATTCAAAGTCATAGTTGACACTTAGCTGCTAGTTGACCCAAGACAGCACATTTGCCGATCTGCTACTCGGACCAGATCAACACCCTCCAACAGCCACACATTACCAAACCTCGCAAGAACATTCGACTCACGTCTGTAGTCCTGCGTCGTTTATCGGGCGTGCCGGCCTCGTCTGTGGTCTCGGGCGGCGGGCCGGCCCTCTTGGCGGCTCCCTGGGCGGACGGTGGCGCCGCCGGGGCGGTCGGCCGCACTTTGTCCGAGGAGCCACTGCTGCCCGTACTGGCCGAGTCGGAGGGCGTGGTGCCGCGGCTTCGACTGCCGCGACGAACACGGCGGCTCCGAGACTGGAGAGAAAAGAAAAACAGGGTTACTTTACTTACCAGTATAGCGCCTTTTGGGGCGACTAACGGAGCGAGCGAGGGGATGAGTCTTGCACGTGCGAAATTTCGAGGGGGTACCTCCAACTGACTTGTGCACGGCACCCTACTGACCGGTTTCTAGCGATGTGCCAAATTTGAGCACAATCGGCCCAGCCGTTCTCGAGATCTGGGAGCGGCACCCTGCACGTGCGCACGTGCAAAATGGGTCCCAACTGACTTGTGCACGGCACCCTACTAACTGGTCCCTAACCGTGTGCCAAATTTGAGCGCCATCGGTCCAGCCGTTCTCGAGATCTGAAAACGACGCCTGCACGTGCGCACGTGCAGCAGCACCCCAACTCTGGCACATGGATATGCAGTGCCTAGTGGGTGCCTACCTACATGCCAACTTTCAGCGCAATCGGCCAAGTAGTTACCGAGATATTGCAACAATTACAAAACTGACACCTCTTCGTTTTGCACGTGGCACGTGCATAAGGGGTCACCCACATGCATCGGGAATAGTCCAATACTTGGTAGAAAGAATGAAGCTACCCTACAAAAATTACCGCGTGTAAATCGGTCAAGTGGTTGCTGAGATATAAGCCTCGCAAAAGCGTCCGCACGGCCGGCCGGCCGGCCGCTCATACTCAGAAATTTCCGTTAATCTAAGGAAAGACTCCGCTCGCTTCGCTCGCTCCGTAATGACATGGAGAGCATGTCAACTTATGCGCGCTGGACTGAGCAGAGGCCAGAAGGCAACCTAATCAAACGACTGATGAAATGAGCTAATCCACAAAAAAAATAATAATAACGATCTGACGAAGTCGGTTAAATGTATAAAACGTCTGAAAGTACGGTATCATGAAGATCACTCCGTTCCCTCTTTTCCATCCTCAGAACAGACAAATCATTCTCCTCCACGCCTTTTTCCCCCTGCTCCGGGCTGGACGGGCAGCTTTATCCCATACGGGGGCTCACATTGGGGCGCACCGCAGCTCCTAAGGGAGCACGCCCGTAGTCGGGTGCGTACTTGGGGGCTGGTCGGCCTGTCCTTTTGAACGGACTCCGCCCCGGTGACTCACTAGGGTGCCCGCCCAGACCAATGTCTCCCCTAATTCCTATCATCCTTCCACCCCTGAAATGACCTAGGGCCTAACCCAACAAAACAAAAACAAAAACAAAAAATAGCATAAAGTAAGAGTCCGCATATCCTGACAGGAAAGTAAGAGGATACTGACCAGCTCTTTCGCTCGTGTCCTGGTGCGCATGCGGCCCTCCTCTTTGATGGGAGGCAGCTGAGAGGGCGGCTGTCTGGGCTCCTTCAGCACGGGCAGGTCGCCGTACTTCTTGAAGTGCACCCTGCAGTCGGTGCAGAGAAGGACGTGCTCCTTGCCCGCGTGGTGCCAGCCCTTTGAGGCTGAAACAATGCGAATGATGCTTGATTTTAGGCCTGCTTATGAAACAATGGTAAAGGCCCAAACAGGAAGTAGTGCCAAAACTAGCTTGTTAGCTTTAGGATCCTCAACAATTTTTACAAATTCCCAAGGACTTCGTTACGTGATTCGACGGCTTATGCAACATACATATATGCAACTCGTCGGATTTTTTTCAGGTGATGCAAGACAAACGTTTACACGGCATTATCGCTAGATAAAAACAGATAGGGTAAGGGCGGGTAAGAGTACGCGGGCGATAAGAGTACGCATCAGCTGTTTCGGTTGCTTAGCAACGCGGGTTTGTCGAGTTCATGAAGTGACATGAAGCCGCCAGTGCGTGCATGTCACCAACGGAACGTGGGCGTTGAGCGGCGACGCTGTTGAGTTTAAGGCGATGAATATTATTTTCGAGCGGTATGATATTATTATGATATGGTACAATAATTTTGATACTTGGCAGTTGAGATAAGGAACATTTCCGTGATTGTTGTGGAAAACTTGTGAGGTTATCTGGGGAAATACTGTACAGTGCAATATTCTGTTTGCGAAGTTTTGCACAACGTTTCGGGGCTGTTTTGTGCGCGAATTGCATGTACGGTAAGAGGACGCACTGTTCAGGAGGGTAAGAGTACGCAGAATTATACATTAAATCGAATATACAGAAATATAGAATTATTAATCTATCGCTCAATGACGTTTGTTTTGTAGGTATATCATCAATGGAGCACTGTGATGCAGATGCGTACCCGAAATTCTTCCAAATACGAGTTATTCTCCTTTTTGATTGTGCATTTTTTTAAAGAAACACACGACATGATTATTTCCTGATTTATAGACTTGAAAGATGTATTTTATGTTTTTCTTTTTGGATACTAGAATTAACTTAAATGCCTTCTGAGTTTGAAGTTAAGCATTTGGACAGTGCAAGCTGCATAGGTGTGTGTTCATATGCTTGCATACTCCACCCGCCTGGCGTGCGTACTCTTACACACCCCATATGGTAAGAGTACGCAAGTGCAACGGTTCAGAAAATGTCAGTTTTAGACCACTTCCATTTACGCTGAAGGATCGTTGCCCCACGGGTTGATGGCTAATTCAATGAACTTTAATATTCCCTATTTGCGATTTCTTTCCTTCAAATATTAAACAAATGAGAGCAAGAAATCCACTAAGTGCGTACTCTTATACGACTTCACCCTATGTATCAAACAGTACAGTCACTAGTCCCAGCCTAGCAAACACCTACACTTGCACTCTATCGAAACGGCAGGCTATTATCATTGAGAGATGTCTATGGCGACTGGGTACTCACAGACGGTGAAGCAGTGCCGACAGTGGTAGGCCGACATGTCGCGAGTGTGGGCGTCAGAGTCATCAGAGTCGTCCTCTGCCTCACTGGTGGAGCTCAGGTCACAGCCGACCGCCGCTGGGGTCACAGGGCAGGGCACAGGTCAGAGAGGAAGAGCAGAGCCGATGATTGTTGGGAAAGTATACTTAGCCACACGGTTAGATCAGCCATTGCCTCATAACACTTCATAGACTTATAGCTCCAAACTAATTCTTATAGGAATAAATCACGCAAAATATACTTAACTTTCTACCGTAGCAGCACTCATTCATATCAATTATGCTTTCAGTAATTGCAATTCGCTAAGTCCTTGAACTTCGAAACGAGAACAGAGTGTCAGTGTTTGGTCTCCCAGGCGGCTCCTTACCGGGGTCCTCCCGCTGGGTCTTGTTGCCCGTCTTCCGACTGCGTATCCGCCGGATGGTGTTGGTGCGCCGGTGTCGCGCGATGTTCCTCGGCCGGTTCCCCTGAGCGGCCGCCGTCTTCTTCCAGAGGTAATAGAACTCGACCAGCTCACTCTGAGAGGCACGGAAAACGCGAGCTTAGAGATCGGAGCGATGTTTTGTCACACGACTGTACTTCGAAGCCGGGTAGGTAAAAAGAAATAACGTAAGCTGTTTAGCATGTCAAGTCTGCCGCTGAGTTTACTTATAAAGTTAGCTTACCGTCTCTTTATGGGGCACGAGCTCCTTTTTTATTCGGAAGAAGTTCTTGCCGTATTGCCGGAGTCCTTTCACGAACTTTTTCTGTAAATTCAAAGTGGTGTTAACTCGACTTCCTGGATCCTCCTCGGCTGGCCATAACAATAAGTAACAACGGTAAGGGTCGTCACAACAAATAACACAGTCGCCTAAGTAGCAGTATAACAGTAACAACGCTTTATATCCGTGTTGCCATCAACGTGTTTCACTACCAATGTGTCCCCATGAAATGACTCAACCTTTTGGAGCCATAAATTATCCGTAAGCGTTCTCCCCGTTTCAGGTCCCTCTCTCGGCCCCCGATCTCCACCCTCCCTTCCCTGGCCAGACCCCTCTCTCCTCCCCAGTAACTCTCGCTCCCCCGCCGCTCTCTCCTCACCGTCTCGTCCTCTGCCCAGCGCTGGTGGACACCCGCCGGTACCGGACTCTTGACCAGCGCCTGTAGCGCCTGACCCTGGTCGTAGCCCGCCTGGTGCAGCTGTCGGGTGGTCGCACAGCGGGTCACAGGTCACAGACGTGTCACACAGCGGGTCGTAGGTCAGGTCACAGGCGGTGTCATGTAAGGTAGCAAGTTACATGTCATATAGATAGAAGTAAGCTCACAGAGGTTTGCAATTCGTAAATGTAAAGTTATACAAACGGTATTCACAATGAGTCAATGTCTAAGTGAGACTGAAGAGTCATGTCTTAATAGTTAGGGTGAAGTCGTATAAGAGTACGCACTTAGTGGATTTCTTGCTCTCATTTGTTTAATATTTGAAAGAAAGAAATCGCAAATAGGGAATATTAAAGTTCATTGAATTAGCCATCAACCCATGGGGCAACGATCCTTCAGCGTAAATGGAAGTGGTCTAAAACTGACATTTTCTGAACCGCTGCAGTTGCGTACTCTTACCATATGGGGTGTGTAAGAGTACGCACGCCAGGCGGGTGGAGTACGCAAGTATATGAACACACACCTATGCAGCTTGTACTGTCCAAATGCCTAACTTCAAACTCAGAAGGCATTTCAGTTAATTCTAGTGTCCAAAAAGAAAAACTTAAAATAAATATTTCAAGTCTATAAATCAGGAAATAATCATGTCGTGTGTTTCTTTAAAAAAATGCACAATCAAAAGGGAGAATAACTCGTATTTGGAAGAATTTCGGGTATGCATCTGCATCACAGTGCTCCATTGATAATATACCTACAAAACAAACGTCATTGAGCGATATATTAATAATTTTATATTTCTGTATATTCGATTTAATGTATAATTCTGCGTACTCTTACCCTCCTGAACAGTGCGTCCTCTTACCGTACATGCAATTCGCGCACAAAACAACCCCGAAACGTTGTGCAAAACTTCGGAAACACAATATTGCACTGCACAGTATTTCCCCAGATAACCTCACAAGTTTCCCACAACAATCACGGAAATGTTCCTTATCTCAACTGCCAAGTATCAAAATTATTGTACCATATCATAATAATATCATAACGCTCGAAAATAATATTCATCGCCTTAAACTCAACAGCGTCGCCGCTCAACGCCCACGTTCCGTTGGTGACAAGCACGCACTGGCGGCTTCATGTCACTTCATGAACTCGACAAGCCCGCGTTGCTAAGCAACCAAAACAGCTGATGCGTACTCTTATCGCCCGCGTACTCTTACCCGCCCTTACCCTAATACCCAGGTAAATGCTTATTTGAAATTGTTTTAACGGACTTTCACTGGGTAGTGGGTAAAAGTTATTATTGGTCCCGGTACTCCGACTTGTATTGAAGAGTCTTCGATGGGGCACACATAGGTTTAAAACCAAAACGTTTTTAAAACGTTTTAAACCTATGTGTGCCCCATCGAAGACTTTTCAATACAAGTCGGAGTACCGGGACCAATAATAACTTTTACCCACTACCCAGTGAAAGTCCGTTAAAACAATTTCAAATGAGTCAAGTCAATGTCTTTTAATTTTGCAGCTTCACCAAGCTGATCAGTGGATAGCTTCTGAGAACACGAGCTCTAATTTCCACCCTCCCGTCTCTTTCCCCAGCAATCCCTGCCGCTGTCAGTCTCTCACCACATCGAGCGCGTTCTGAGTGGTGGCGTCCCGCTCGGCTGCCGCGCACCCTTCGTCCGTGCTGCCGCCGTCACACATCCCGGCGAAGGCGGCCATGGAGCGGGCGGCGCGCAGGAACATCATAAGGTCTGAGTCGGCCGCCCGGCCTGGCATCCAGAGACGCTGCTCCTCGGCGCCCGTCGGACGACTCGGGATGCCGGCGTGGGGGCCGCCCCGGTACTCGGGCAGCTTGGCCTGTGGAGGGGAACGGAGTGGGTGGGATGTGGAGGTAGAGAGACATTAAAGGTGGATACTGCCCGTTTATACAGAAATGACAACACAGTGACCATTGTTGGTCAGAAAGTTGCATTACAGAACATAATGCGGTAAATATAACGACATTTATTTAGGAAAGGTGAAATCGATTTATCCGGACTGAATCTGATCCTGCCATGAATCAGCCTCCAGTCTCCACGAACTCAGTCAGAACAGACCTGATCTAACCGAAGCTCTCCATTGACTCGGCCTGACCTGACCTGACCTGACCCCGGCTCTCCACTGACTCGGTCTGACCTGACCTGGTTTCTGCATTGACCTGACTCAGCCTGATTTGACCTGACACGGTGCTCTGTACTGACCTGATGGGACGGCCCCACGCGGATCTCCCCCTGAGTGGACGCCAGTCTGCGAGTCTCCGGGTTGTAGGTGAGCACGTAGAAGAAGGTGTCCTTGGCGGGCGCGTACTCGCGCACCTTGTGGATGTCACTGTAGTGGATCACCTTACATGGACCCCTGGCGGCGGACGGCGGAAACTCGTCAGAAAGGGGCGCACGGTGAAACACTGAGCATTGGTGTGGTATGAGCTTCCAGGGACGGACTTTAACGTCAACGATGTGGAAACATGGAGAACGAATAAGCGATGAAATTGTTTTTCTTCTTGTTTGGATGGCTGTAAATGATACCTTTCTACGCTTCGATTAGCAGCATTAATTAGACACTAATTCATTTCTGGCATCTGCTATCAAATAAACAGACCCTTCTCTGAATCGATTGGAAGCATTAGCTGCTTCCAAGAGACTGCACAGCAGCGTCACGTAACATTCCATTAGTGACGTCACACCAACAGAAGCGGTATACCTACCGCTTCAGACCAGTGGCGGTCACTACCTCAGGACTCTACAAATAATCAGAGCCACCGCAGTGACCACACTAACGACAACTGGAGCGACTGAGCGATCATCAGGCGGGACGCGACACAACCACACCGCTGCCAAAGTCAGCAGGACGAATCACAACAAGCTGTAGGCTGCATCGCTAAACACGTCTCAGTTAGTGCAGAACGGTGACGTGGGGATGGAAGTCGAGTGATTTTAGCAGCTAGCAACAGATCGATTTATAGAGGCTGGTGTTCTTGATGGCTATACAGCGTCATATATGAGCAATGAGCATGGATGCCGCGTCAAATGGGTATTCGGTAAATCACATGCCTCGCCCCTCTCTCGCACCCACCTAGACACCACCCCCTCCCTCCCTCTCCCCTTTCCCTATCCCCTCCCTCACCTCAGCACGGCCACTGGGAACGTGTCCGTGGCGTCCGATATGAAGAGCTCGCGGTGTTTGACGGCCGGCTGGTGGACGGCCAGTCCCGGGTCGTGCTCGGTGGTGCGGTCCTGCACCAGCAGCTGGTACACGTTCTCCGGCAGCTCACACACACGGTAGAACCACTTGATGTTCACCATCAGAGTGTCCCGCTTGCTCTGCAATGGAGGGAGGGCTTGGTGAGAGAGGTTGACAGGGGGGTCAAGGGGATGTGGGGGGAGGGGGGACGTCCTGGATTCAGCGACTTACGGGGGCGGGGAGAGGGAGCAGGAAGTGAAGATAAACAACATAAATATGGAATGACAGGAGGACAGGAACGAAGTGAGACGTGAATGACGAAGCGAGATTTGGCGAACAAAGACACGTCCAGGGAACAACCAATGATTGATAACGAAGTCACACAAGTTAAAGCGTAAAACAATGCAATCATAGTGTGCTGTCAGATTAGCACATATCACGCCACAACGAGCGTGGGTACGGTGGGGCGACGGCGGCCGGTCACCGCTCTCTCCTTCCCCTCCCCACTCTCTCCTTTGGAGCCGCACTGCGATCTAGCACACAAGGATTTCCCGTCCTACCAAACAAAGCCACCACCAGATGACGAATCCCAGACTCCCACCGTCCCAATCACGTACGCGAAGCCGGGAACACGCCACTGAGTCCCGGCGGCCACATCACGGTGAACTTCACGAATGACGGGCCGCACGGGCACCCACGGCCGAGGTCCCTCCGTGACATCGCCGCCGTCGCCGCCGCCGCCGCCGCCGTTCGGGCCCGCAGTGACGTCACATCTCAGTCAGCTGGCTCGGCGGCGGAGCCACGCCCCCTCGTTCCAGCAGGAGGGAGGGCCGGAGCGGCGGCGGTTACTTTGGGAGAGCGGCTCGAAAGCAGCGACGCCAGCAGCGATGTAAAGTTGTCAATGGGCAAGCTCGGAGGCTGAGTTGTCCAACGATGTCTAGTGATGCTCCTTAGGAGGCTATGTCCTCCATTAGCACCTCAGGGAGATCATGATGTCTTTTAACTTATAACCTGATTGTGTAAGTTGTCCATAACTGTCCCATTCTAAACGCTTTCATAGATAATCACGATTCACGCTTAAGCATAAATATTAGTTAACAGTTCGTCTTCTTCCCTTCATGATGGTGAAATAGCATGTCTCTAAATCACCCGACCCATTGAGGCGTGCGTTCATTACCAATCCATGTATCGACGCAATCATCTCAATTAATTATGGGGAATATTTGTTTCTGGTCCCTAAAAAGCTGTTTCTGGCACCTAATTGCTGATCAGCCCCAAAATGCTTACTCGACCCTAATATCTGAATCTGGCACCTAATTGCTTCCACACAGCCTAAAGTTGCCAGATCGTCTAGTTGAACTCCGTATTTGCTGTTTGCTGATTCAGCACCAAAACCAAAACATCCAGCACCTACGAGGGGGTATCGAAAAGTTCTGATCATCACCATGAATTAGATGTGATAGAAATTTGATTTTTTTACATGATGTTCATTACTCCTTTACAAGTTACCACACACGACCGCAAACTTATTGCATCGTTTCTTGAGCTGCCTCAGGCGGTCATTGTAGGACCTTCGATCTGTCCCGTAAATCACTGCTCCACCTCATCAATGACGTCATTTCCGTCCTTAAATCACCGGCCATACTGTGGATTCTTCATCTCCCGTAACAATCAAGAGTCAGTTAACACCCGGTCAGGTGAATTTCTTAGATGCGGTGGGATTTAATGTCCACATCATGTTGTTTCTTCAATCGCAGCTCAGGACAAATGGGCGGGGGCGCTGTCGCTGCGGATAAAACATCTTTCTTGGGCTTTTTTGCGGCAATTCTGCTTGAGGCCATCTCGCAACTTCTTCAAAAGTGTGCAGTAGTGCTTGCTTATCACTATCCGACCATCATCAAGACAGTCGGTAATGACTATCCTACGCCAGATCCAGAACACTGATAGCATTGACCTTCCATATCGGCTTCTGCATCTTCGCCTTTCAAGAAGGACAGATGTGCCGTGCTTAAATTTCTTGATCGTCTTTTTGTCTCTGGATCATACACATAGACCCAGCATTCGTCACAAGTCATCGAATGATCGAAGCTGTCTTCAATTTCCTAAAAAATGCCTAAATTTCATTTCGAAAGGCCAAGACGCATTTTTCTCTTGAACAAAGTAGACACACGAACTTCTAAGCGGCCTGACTCTTTTATCGTCCGTAGTTCTTCGCTGATAATATTTTCAGGCACTGCCAGCATTGAGACCTTTCTGTTGCACAATCATCTGAAAGTTCAGACGACGATCTGTAAGGATGAGGTCCTCCACTTCCTTCACAGTCACCACCTTGTCAGTCACTGGTAGTCACTCACTTCTTGACTCCCCTGCAAGGGCCATGCAACCAAGTTGAAAATTATTTCTTCATTTTCGGTAAGTGCATGAGATGGGCTTTCCTCGCCATAAAGTTATTTCACGTTCTTGATGTATTTTCTCAGTGTGATACCGTTTCAAATGCATTAGTTGGATAACGGTTCGGTCCTCAATGGGCCCAATACTCATCTTTTTTACTTCTAAGTCTCTCCTACATAAGATAAAACCACTTCTCAAGATTCTCTTTGCGGGAACATTGTTCTTAAGAACCAAATATAATGCAAACCAAAAATCATCAAAATCGGTATATATCTTCTATGTGATGATCAGAACTTTTCGATACCCCCTCGTATTTTATTCCACGTTTGCCTACCTAATTCCCGTAATCTTCCTGATTTTATGTATCCTAACAAACATGAACGTTGCATTCGGTGATGACAAGTGCCATTTTCGCCAGTGGAGATAATGATTAATGCCATTTCTAGCCAAAAGAGAATCACTAGCCAGCTATGGTGCAGCATAGCAAGACGCTCCTATACTAGCCCGCTATGTAGAGACTAGAGATTATTGCACCCTCAGCCATTTTAACGTGAAAAGTTTGGATCCGTCACTTCCAGCCAGGCTCTCAGGTCATAAACTGGAGTAAAGCAAAATGTCAACTCTGAACAGACATGCCACGCCACGCAACCGGCCCTCTTTTCAATATTATTACCTTTCTGCAATCATCGTCTGACTCCATCTCGATCAAACGCAGCATCCGGTTTCTACAGGGGCGTTTGACTGACCGGCCACACAATAACCAAAAACAAAATCAAAGCTTCATGCACACATATGACATAAGTAAGAAACGGATGAAAAAGGCACAACCAAGGCACAACTCTGCGCGGCAAACAACGGACAATGTCCCACGCAAGATCCCGCGTTTCTTCAGCGGCCTTGAACGGAATGAAAACATTACATTTCTTTTTTGGAGCTATTTGATGACGTCAAAAAATACAATACCCGTTTTAATGGTCAAAATCGAGACAATTACTCACAAAAATGTTTCCCTTTAATCATTACAAATAAATACTTTTAAATATTTAAATGACATTGTTTTTCAAACAAATCAATATTATTTGCTTACTTAAACGTCATATACAGTGCTGAGATCACTACGGGGCTGTCTTAGAGTGTAACTGCACTGGCAACCTTTAGGCTAGACTCCAGGGGTCATTATACCAGAACAACATGATTCTACCAGCCAGTAGTTCATTTTTCTACTAGATTGGTGCTACGCTCAGCATTTAGGTGCCAGATTCAGAAAAAAGAGTAAGGCGTACCGATGAATAGGTGCCAGAAACAGCTAATTAAGGTCATTTTCCATTATTGGTGCTGGTATCCACCAAATAGGTGCTGAGGACCAATTTTGGGGCGAGTCAGCTTTTAGGTGCCAGAAATAGCTTTTCTGGGACGCAATTAAATGGCGTCCATTAATTATTACGAAAGGAGCCGTTCTAGAGTTACCTCTGATTTACGGTCCTCGCAGTGACGGCCAATGAAAACAGGTCGCTATCTGTAGATGGCGCTGCGTTCAGTCGCTGCCCGACCCGCGCCGGGGCAGGACGTGCCTGGCCGCCCGCCGACGGAAATAAAACTCGCCGAACGCACCCTCATATCACGCGTAATGGCCGCCGGATCGCTGCCTGTCGCCGTAATCGAGGACCCGCGCCGTAACTGAGCCGTCACGCACCGCGGAACTCTGTGTGTGCATCGTTAATGACGCCTTTATTCGCACCTATGGACTCTCGAACGCACCGTGCTGGGATTCGAGAGCGAACTGACCAGGGACTGAACTGTCCGGGGTGGGTCAGTTTGACCGTGAGGGTGAACCAGAAGGTGCAATACGTGGCTGACGTGTTCAGCATTGGAAAAGACTGTTATATTCAGTATGCAACAGCAATCACGGCTAGTCGTATCCGTGTAATGGCCAAATAAATTATGTATTATTAATGTGAATATAAAGAGTGACTAGCATGAAATTACCTATAACAGGAAACGTTTCTATTATTACCTCGTAAGCTATTGCGACGGCTGACAGTTATGTGCGTATTCCATCCCATCCCCGTCTCAAAACATCAATGCTTTGGGAATCTTTTCTTGTTTCTCTAGCCGTGCCGTTCCGATTTAAGTGCTTTAGCGTCAATCTGCGAGCTGGCAGGGGCGGCACCAGATGCTGGAGCCGAGGGGTATCTCGGCCGGCCCCGAGGCGGACCCTACTGTTCGCCTGTATTGATCGCAATACTGCAGCCAGCCCTGCGCCGCCCTTGACACGGGCGTGAGGGCTCAGAAAGTAGACAGCGCGGGCGACTAGGGAGAGCTAGTGGCACTGAAACAGATGAGGCGAGTGTGGGCCAAATGAGTTAGAGATCGAGCCGGCATAGGGAGCAGAGGAGCTGGGCTGGATTCGGAACGATTATGCAGGCAGGAAAACTTAAACATGTGTTCCTGCAGCGAGTGAAAAGAAGGCGAGAGTGGACCACGAATAATCAATGCCTTATGTTGTCTTGCCTCTCAGAAAATTACCAGCTTATGTGAGCATCTATGTGCAATGAATTTATTGTCGCACCGATGCCTTTGATTATGTGTAGATGCATTGGACGAGCATATTTATTGAGCAAGTATAACTGACCAGTTGGAACTAGTTTGTAGGTAGTATACGTACGTATGGATTAAAAAAGCATTAGGTATGCATAATTAAGCGATATAAGATATATAATTTCGCTTAATTATAGGTAGTTGGTTTTTA